GACATGGTGGCTGCTGGGACGCTTGGCTCAGACCCCTCCGATCCTGACCTGGACTTCGGCCGATGGGGACTCAGTGGCCATGGGGACGCTCAGCCCGGACCGCTCCGACCTTCCCTGCACCGGTGACGTCCAGCCCGCCTTCTCCTTGCCCCGTGTGTTCACTGGAACCACACGTTCCGTTTCCTCCAATGGCTTCTCCTTTGCGTTCACAGCTCAGCTGACCGCTGGCGTCCAAGGCCCAGGCTCCCGGGGTATCGGGTCCGGACACGCCTGCCTCGCCGAACTTCACCCCGGCTCGCTCCACCCCTGCTCGCTCCAGACTTCCAGCTTCGGACGTGCGACTCTTCCTTTCGCACGAGCACGTCGAGGCCGTCCTCAGGTCACGAACTGGCCTCGTGTCCACACTGTGGCATCTCTGGGACGAGGGAGGCCCGCGGGGAGGGAGACGGAGGAACGGCCGTCGGCAGAGCCATCGTCACACGCGCGTCCGTGAGGTCTGCCGTCTCGTGGGGGCAGCCTGCGGGGTCCCCAGGGACGCCGGTGCCATCCACGACCGCTCGGCACAGATCCCCGCGAAAATCGAACAATGAACAATTTTAGATCCTGTGAGTCACCAGAGTGTGACAGAGACAGGAAGAGAGCAGCTGCTGTTGGAACACGGGCGCCGACACATGGTGGCCCCAAACCTTCCATTTGTAAAAACCCAACAGCGGCCGCGCCCCACGGCCCAGCACCGCGAGACGAGGCCTGCGTGAGGAAGGCCGGGAGCGGGCTGCATTTTACACTCAGTGTGTGGCAAAATGGGAGGAAAAATGTGCTTTACATAGTTCTGGAGAAATATCTGGGACTCGTTTATGGGGAAGGTGAAAGGAGAATCTTGAACTTAGGACCAGAACAGGGTGTGAGGGTCGCACAGGACGTAACTGGCCGCGCTTGTTTGCGGGTTCCCGTGGGGGCACGGCCCGCTTGGCTTCCTGCCGGAGGCGGAGCCACGAGGAGACACATCTGCTCCCCACTTTGCTCGTTCTCCCTGGTCCGGACGGGACGGTGCTGCTGGGAGGACCGCCACACGTCTTCGCCTCTGTGGCCGCCTCGGAGCAGCTTGCGTGGCCCAGAGGCCTGGGTACAGCCAGACCCAGAGAGGGAACGGCAGACAGGTGGCTTGCTGGTGGAACCTGAGTTCTGGAAAGTGTGCATGCGTGCGTGTGTGTGTGTTGGGGCAGGAGACGCAAAGAGACACGTGTGTCGGCGCGGACGTTGCAGGAGTAGCGGTTGGTACCGTCTTTCTGCGGCACGAGGCTTCTCCAGCTCACCGTTTCTCAGTGTGGTCCATGCTGCCTCGAGAGCCTGCCCGGCCCCCGGTGGCTGCCGTCCTCGTCCCGAGCCCACGTCCAGAAGGGCTGAACCACTCTCTGGCAAAGGGGCCAGCGGATGAGCCTTTGAACAAAACCCCCAGCGATCGTCGCGCTCACCGACTTTGGAGAACTTCAGTTCCATTCCTCCGGAGACTTTGCTTTTTTTCTCAGAGATCTCGCCACGTGTGTCTCAGACTTGCCGGCGAGGCAGCTCATTTCCAGCTTTGGTTTCCAGACCCGGCCTGGAGCGTTGCTAGCTCCTCCGTGACTAGCGGGTTGCCAACGAGGGTGCGATCCTGAGTCCCGACGGAAACCCAACTTGGAACACGGCTCCGCCGGAGAAGCTCCTTTTAGACCAGAAGCATGTGCTTCGTGGGAGTTCTGTTTGGATCCGATGAACGCAGCTGACGGCTCCAGTGATCATCTGGGGCAGATCCACAGAAACACAGCCTGTGGGCCGCTCGTTAGCCTGCCTTGGCTCCGTGCTTCTTGCTTCCTGGATGACTGCATCGTTAGAAACTGCAGAGCAGCAGCCGCTGCGGCAGCCTCCAGCCGAGGGACAGCCACCAGCCACAGCAGGGGTTCTGGGTCCAGCCCCTTTTAAAGGGAGAAACTGGGCTGCCTGGGGGGCTCAGGGAAGCGTCTGCCTTCGGCTCCGGTCATGATCCCAGGGTCCTGAGACCAAGCCCTGTGTCGGGCTCCCTGCTCAGTGGGGCATCTGCTGCTCCCCCAGCGTGTGCTGTCCCTCTCTTTCTCCCAAGTAAGTGAGATCTTTCAGCAAGTGGAGGGAGAGATCGCAGAGGCTCTAAAGCAGACTTTAACGCTAAAGCAGTGACCTCGTCTTCGGCGGCGTGAACTCCAGAAGGGGCCTGTCCCGGCTCAGGAAGTACAGTTTGAAAACTCTTGTTTTCACCCATCGTTCCCTACTCCTCTTAATAGTTACTGTTAGGTCAGCGGTTACATTTTGTGCAGTAAATTTATTCGTCCCGCTGGATCATGGGAACCACGGAGATATGTTCCAAGAAAGTACAGGTCTGGGCCCGGAGCTGGGCCTGTCCCTCTGGCCCCGTGGCCTGGCTCCCAGCAGCCTGGCCTCCAAGCCACCCAGCGAGAACGCCCACTGCAGCACACGGGCCACCATCCCCACGGCAGGACGGGAGGCTGCCCAGCTTCTGAGGTCCTGGCACAGAGTGCTGAGGGACTACAGGGCAGGGTCACTGACCTCAGGAGCGAGGGGCTGGGCTCTCCTGACCAAATCTTCTCCCTACAGGAGGAGCAGCCATGAGAGCTGGTGTCAAAGAGGGCGACCGGATCATCAAAGTGAGTGCCCCCCGCCTTCTGGCTGGCTCCCTGCACCCTCCTGCCCTGCCCCCAGGGTGGTTGGCCACTGGGTTGGGGGCAGTGCCACAAGAGGGCCCCAGGAATGTGGGGACCTGCCCCCAGGAGCCCCCTCTTCAGCCTTTCTGGACTCTAAGTAACCAAGCTTAGAGTGGGTTTTGTTTTCCTATTTAACACACAATCAAAATATACTTAAGATGGGGGGAGGGGCTGAGACCAGCCAGGGGCCCAGGGCCTTCAGACTGTCGCCACACGGTGCTGACCTGAGGGCCTTGCCAGCTGCCACCTGCTGGGACCTGCCTGGCCTCTGGGGCCGCACAGTCCTGGAGGCACTAAGGGAATCCTAGGCGAGGCAACGCCTTAGCCCTCCAGTGGGGAGGAGGCCCGCTGGGCAGGGGCGCGGCCGGCCGGGAGGACAGAACGTACAGCAATGTGAACGGGAGCAAATTCACAACGACCGGCGGGGTCTGGGGGCACCGGAAAGTGGCTTTGTGAAGGCATCTGAGCCTCGGAGGACCCCCGCGTCCATCCCGGTCACTCTAGCGTTTGTCCTGCCACAGGTGAACGGCACCATGGTGACCAACAGCTCACACTTGGAGGTGGTGAAGCTTATCAAATGTGAGTTGGAAACTGGGGTGCACGAAAGTGGGGGACAGGTGGGCTGGGTGCAGCAGGCCCTTTGACCCGGGGCCTCCTTTGTGGTGAGACGTGCAGCCAGGGCCAAGTGTCTCATCTTCATCCACTGGGCCTGCCCCGTCCCCTGCGGTCACGGCCCGTGGAGACCATATCCTGCTGCCCCAGCTCCCTCCAGGCCATTCACGCCTTTTTCCCCTCCACAGACAGCCTTCCTCGGTCGTGGCCTATCTGGGGGCAGGGGTGGGTAGCACACACATTCTGTCCGCAGCCGGGAAGACCCAGCCCTTGGAGCTGCCCAGGTGATCCAACGGAAGCAGGAGACGCTGAGGAAAGCGCTCACGGGCGGGTGGTCCTAGGAGCGCGGGAGGCCAGCGCCTGAGCGCCTTCCGCCGTCCGTGCGCCGGGGGCTTGACAGACCTGAGCGCAGTGACGGACACGAGGGCCAGGCAGCCACACGTGTGGGGGGGATTTGGAGCATCCTGCGTAAAGAAGAGCGGGGAAGGGGCACCGGCGTGGACGCAGGGCCGGTGGCTGGAGCTAGGAGACGGCCGGGCACTCAAGTGCAGTTTTATCCGCAGAATTTTAAGCTTCATGAAAGGAGGAGGGAGAAGACTCTCTCCCCGCCACCGTCACCCAGTTTGTAGCCTGAGTGTCCGCCCTCCAGGACGACGCGCCCTGAACGAGCCTGTCCTTTTCTGTCTGCCTCCAGCTGGCGCCTATGTTGCCCTGACGCTCCTGGGCTCCTCCCCCTCACCCGTCGGTGTCTCTGGGCTGCAGCAGGGCCCCGCCTCTGCGGGGACTCCCCGAGCCGCTCCTGTGGTCCCACCACCACCTCCACCGCCGCCTCTGCCGCCCCCGCAGCGCATCACAGGGCCCAAACCGCTGCAGGTGATGGTCCCCGCTCGTCACCAAGGGGGGAAGCAGGTATAGCGAGGTGTGCTGGTGAGCAGAGGCGGGTCAGAGACGCGTGAAGGGCGTCGGCAGGACAAGCGGAGGGCTAGCCGCGTGGAAGGGGCCCCTCCGCCCCTCGTGTCCAGCTTCCACGTGAATGCAGCCTGTCTCCCCCCCCCAGACAGCGGAGGGCAACGTGCTTCCTAAACAGAGGGGACCCTAAGGAGGCCTTTGGGGGTGCTGCCCACCAGCAGGGAGAGTGCACCCCTCCAGGCACGGACAGAGGTGACCGTTAAAGATACGGCCAGCCCCTGTCACAGAGTGTGGGACTCATGGAGCCGTAGGGGAAAGGATGCTTGAGGGAGGAAAGGGGGAGAAGGGGAGCGGATCGGGAACGCTCAGGCAACAGCAGGGGCGGACCCAGGACAGGGCAGCGGAGTGACGAGGTGCGGTGAGGAACAGGGCCGGGGTCTGTGGTTGGACAGAAGACCAAGCGAGCAGGGGCAGGGAGCCTTGGAGCGGTTCGGTACCGGGGGTGGTTGCCGCCAAGGCCTCTGGGAATTCGGGAGGTGCCTGATGCCGGGTGAGTGACTGAGGGTCACTCAGACGTACAGGCGACCCCAACAGCCTTACTGGGTTTTCCAGCCTGAGAACCGGCAGGTGGGAGAACACCCGCGAGGCTGTCCCCTCCCTCCCCACTCACTGGTCTCTTCGTTTCCAGGATCCCGAATTCCAAAAACATGCCACCCAGATCCTTCGCAATATGCTGAGGCAGGAGGAGAAAGAATTACAGGTGAGGTCCTGCCGAGGGCAGCCGGCCATGGCCTTGCTTTCCAGACCCCCTGTCACCGCCAAACCCCAGCACCCAAAACCTGAGGCCCCCTGACCAGTTGTGACCGTGGGACACGTTAAAACAGAACTGGGTTGAGACAGTAAATAGGGACCGGAGGTCCTGGGTAACAGGTCGAAATGGTGGACACGTAGCCCCGTGCCAACAGGAGACAGTGGGGAGAAGACAGTGAGGGAACACCAGAGCCGAGAGAGGTCTCAGGGTCTCCCGGGAGGGAGGCAGGGTGGGCAGGCTGCTGGCAGCGGGACCCCGTTGGTGGGGGTGGGGTGCAGTGGCCCCTCATTTCCATTCATCGCTTTTTTGGAAGCTGCATATAAAGCATTGTTTTAGGTCGGGTGGTACACAGACGTGGAGAGATTAGGCAGTCCTTGTCCTCAGCACAGCTCTGATGCGGCAGAGAAAACTCCCAGCGCAGTAAGAGTCAGGGAGGGGACGAGGAAGGCAGCAGTCCCTGAACCACAGGGACGCAGGGGGACTTCAGGGGAGAGCTGTCTCTCAACGGGGCCTTGGGTGGGCCTTCTGCAGGCAGACGGATGGGGAGGGTCCACCGGTGAGTGCATAGCACAGGCCAAGGGCACGGACGTGTGGAACCACGCTCCTGTGCTTGGCAGGACTGAGCTGCTGCTAATGTGGGGGGAGGAGGGCAGGGTGGGCGACACTGGGGCAGAAGCCAGAGAGTTACCCGGGAAGGTGGGGGGGGGGCTTTCCTTCTGGGGTTTGTGAACCAGTGGGGTATCTGTGGGTGGATGGAAATGCAGGCAAACTGCATCGTAGTAAGTGTCTTAGCGAGCAATGTGGGACAATCGGGGCAGACCTGTCAGTCTGTGGGACAGAGCTCAGAGTCCAGAAGCTAAAGCACACATAGAGGGTCAGTTGGGTTTTAACAAAGGCGTCCAGACCATTTGGTAGAGAAAACCATCTTCCAGCAGTGGTGCTGGACCAGCCGGCTGTCCACGTGCCGAGGACAAACGTGGATCCGTACTTCACGGTGTGAGCTGAATCTTATCCCAGACCTCTCAAAGACGGATGTAAGGACTGAAACTGTTCTCGAAAACCGCAGAACGTTCAGAAGAAAACACAGGTGGAAATCTTCATGAGCTTGGATCAGGCCACATTTGCCTACATGTGACACCAAAAGTAGACGGAACCGAAAAATAAACAAATTGTACTTCGTCCAAATTAAAAGTCTTTGTGCATCAAAGGACACAATCATAAAAGTGAAAAGGTCGCCCCCAGGATGGGAGGAAATACTTGCAACTCATCTGTCTGATCCAGGTCTGGCGCCAGATACGTTAGGGACTCCGTAAATGTAATAAGACGACACGTGAGCCAGTGGGTCGGACAGCAGAGACGTGCACGGATGCCTGGTGAGCTCACGGCGACTGGTCGTCAGGCCAGTGCTGGTCACAGCCGCACTGCACACCCACCAGGATGGCCGGAGCCAAGGCAGCGCCGGTGTGGGGGGAGGGGAGAAGTTGGGGAAATGCTGGTGCACACGCCCTCCGTGTGCCCATTATCCTGATGGATCCCCACCATTGCCGGGGAGGACGCGGACTCTCACGGCCGCCGCGGACACGGTGCGGCGGCTCCCGAGAACGGTCAGCACAGCGACGCGCAGAGACGCTCCGTCAGCCCCACTCCCGATTCTGACCCCGGAGAACTGGAAACGGCCAGACGCGCACCTGTCCGCGGACGTTCACGACCGCGTTTGTGACGGTGTAGCCCCAGAGAGGAAGCCACGCGACCTGCAGCAGCAGCCCAGGGTGGTCTGTCTGGATGGCGGGACGGACCCATCCCCTGCTCTGCCGCGCCCCACCCCGGGCAGGAGGCACTGAGAACGCGTGAGGCCCCGGGGGAGCCAGGCGCAAAATTTGACGGATCCTGTGAGCCCATTTAAGGGGAAATCCAGAACATGTACGTCCACGAGGACGCCACGTAGATCAGTGGTGGCGGGGGTGGCGGGGGAGGAGGTGGCCGGGACGCTACCCGGCCGCGTTCCGGAGCTGCGCGGTGGGGCTGTCGTCGTGAGCCCTGCGGGTGTGTGCAGGCCCCTCAGCTGGACGCTCACACGGGCCGAGGTTTATCGTACGTGAATCCCGCGTCCGCCGTCTCTGAGGTGCTGGTGCACGGAAGCCCGAGAGGAGGACGAATCCACAGCCGTCGCGGACGACTTCCCGAGGTGGCGCTTGGGTTTGGGCTCGGCCCATTCCGCTCTGGAGGCTGTGTTGGGCCTTGAGCCCCTCCTGAGCCTGGAGCTTATTCTGAAGACCATGGGACGGGTCGGAGGACTTTGAGCAGGGACTGGTCCCATCCCCAGGCCAGTGTTCCCCAGAGACGTCCCGCGGCCGCTACAGGAGACCAAGCCAGAGGGGTAGGAGTCGGCACGGGAGACGCGGGGCCGCGGGGGACATCGTGGAGGTCACATGGGTGAACACCCGGCCTGCAGGGGCAGGTGGCCGGGCAGAAAAGGCAGGAGAACCGAGTTTGGGCGCCAGGACGGCAGCGATGCCGGTGGTGAAGGGAGGCAGCAGAGCAGGGTTTGGGGGGAGACAGGAAGGTCAGCTCTGCGTGCTCGGGGGACGTTGAGAAAATGACCGTCCGCCTGCCACGTGGAGGTGAGAGGGCTGAGCCTCAAAGGAAAGGGCAGGGTTGAGACAGGTTCGGGTGTCCTCGGCGTGAAGGTGGTCGTCGGAACTGGGGACTAAGTGGGGTCCCCGAGGGCCCGTGCAGGGAGGAGGAGAGCGCGTGCCGTGGGATTTCGGAAGTGGGCTTCTGCGGCACACCACACCCACCCGTCGCATCCCTGTTATATTGGCTGTCACGTTGTTTGTCCTTCTGTCTGTGGGACTAAGTAGCGTCCAGGCCGGGACCACGTCTCTGCGTGTTTTCTGTCAGCGGCACAGGCCCACGCAAATTTCGGGGCATTGGGACCCACCGAAGCTGTGGACAGGCTGTGAGGGAGGGTGGGGGGCACCGGGACAGCTTCCAAGGAGGGAGACCGTGCGCAGGCCTCAGACTTTGGGCCCCAAGGGTCGAGCCCTGTCTGGGGACGTGTCCACGGAAGGAGGGAGAAAGGGCCAAGGCAGCGGCTTGAAAGATAATCAGAATCGATGGAAGGGCCTCCTGTTGGCGGCTGGTTTTCGTTTTAAGAACAGAAAGGAGCATTCCTGCAGGGTGAGGGAAGGAACCATGGGATGGGGAGACTGAGGGCACAAATAGGGTCCCTGGAGAGCCCCCACGGCTGGAGGCAGAACTGCTGTGTGGGGCCAGAGAGGCCGCATATGTCGGCAGTGCAGCCGGGAAGCCCGCTGGGGGACGGCGCCTAGTGGGGCTGGGGGCCTCGGGCCTGCAGAGCCGTGGGGCAGCAGGGGGCCTGGCTGAGCTCACAGCTTTATGCACTTGCGTGAGGGGCCGGCTTGCGAGCGCTTCCGTCTGCAGTGCCACAGCACCTGCACTCGGGGAAGGCGTCACAGGCCAGGGCTCATCCGGGCCTCACTGCCATCTGGCGGGCAAGGACCGTCATCCCCGTGTTACCGGGGAGGACGCGGGAAAGCTTTGCAGGTTGACACAGCTAGTGAGCATGAGGGACAGGATTCAGAGGGCGGCCTCCCCGACGTCAAGGCCCAGGCTCCGTGCTCTCCATGCGCACCAGGTACGCACCAGTGAGCGTCCAAGTGGCTCCCGGCCGCACCTGCGGCCGGACGGGGCACCTGGGTCTTGGCCGCGTGGGAGCTCTGTGCAGACCGTTGTGTACGGACAGTGAGCATCCGACACCCGAGCCAGAGCCGAGGCAGACCTTGGTATCGTGAGGCATATGCCTGGTCTCGGGCGGTGGGTCAGAGGGGACGGTCCTTGTGTGCTGTTGTCTCACTCCGGTTGGCCTCCCATGGCGTTTCCCGTCACCTCTGCTTTCTCTCCTCCCGAGCGACTGCGAGCTCACACACACCTCTGCAGGCGGAGCGCGCCGTGTCCTCTCTCGGTTCGGGGGTCACGGCCTGCTGTCCCGCCCAGGGAGTCGTGCTCCCCATTAACCACCTCATGCCTTCCCCTGCCTGTCGTCCTCACCGTCCCCAGCGCATCTGTGAGGTGTACAGCCGGAACCCTGCCAGCCCACTAGAAGAGCAGATCGAAGGGGCCCGGAGGCGCGTCACGCAGTTGCAGCTGAAGATCCAGCAGGAGACGGGCGGCGGCGGCGTGGTGAGTGCCGCGGCCAGGCGCCAGGGAGGGGCGCAGCACGGGGGACCGCGGGCAGAACTGGGAGGTCAGCCTGGGCAGAGGCCTCCTGAGTCGTGCCGGAGCCTGGACCGACCAGTGGGCAGTTAGTGTCTCACAGAGACGAGGGGCAGCGATCTTGCTTTGGGGGCACGGGGTGGGGTGCCACGCCGGCGGGCAGGGGACCGTTTGTCGCCCTCCAGGAGCCTGCCGTCACGGTGCAAAGAAGTACCCGTGAGCTCAGCCGGACCACTGGCTTGAGTCTCCTCCTTGTCCACTCCCTCCCGGGAGTGTGGCCGTTCCCACACTGGTTTTCTTTTTTTTTTTTTTAAGATTTTATCTATTTATTTGACAGAGATCACAAGCAGGCAGAGAGGCAGGCAGAGACAGAAGGGGAAGCAGGCTCACTGCTGAGCAGGGAGCCCAACGTGGGGCTCGATCCCAGGACCCTGAGATCATGACCCGAGCTGAAGGCAGAGGCTTTACCCACTGAGCCACCCAGGCATCCCTCCCACACTGGTTTTACCCAGCGCACCCATGGCGGCCTCTCGGGTCATGTGCACCACAGACGGTGGGTCTCCTCCCAGACCGCAGGGCCCCCCATGTCAGCCACGCCACACAGCCACGTCTGTAGGGAAGCCCCAGGGAGGAGTTGCCCTAACCCGCGCCAGTCAGGGAATCCATGCCTCCCGTCCCGCACTGTCTCCGTCAGGCCTGAGTCCTGCAGGCAGATAAGAAGGAACTCTCCAGAAACGAAGGTCTCCAAGAGCAGTATTTGCAAAGCCAGTGAAGGATTTGAGGGTCACCTCCTTTGTTTGCTAGAACACCCAGATCAGACTGTCTGGGAGCCACAGGCTGATCAAACAAGCTGCTCTGTTTCCTGAAGGGCACGTCCGTGCCATGTGGCCGATAGGCGCTCAGGTTCTGAGCTCACCAGCTCTCGGCCTCTCGGGCCAGCTGCTTGACCTCGGGAGCCCCGGTATCCTCGTCTGTGAGCTAGAGAGCCCAGCAGGGCCTGCGGGGACGCTGATGGTCGGAGTCGAAGTGAGCCCCCGTCGCGGGCCGTGTGCGTCTGCCCTGCAGCTGTGCTTGCGGGCTCCCCGGGCTGGAGCGGCCGACACACCCGGCCAAGGGCTTCGGGGCTGAGCTCCAACCCCAGTGTGGGTCCTTCTGCTGCGCGCCATGGGCGGGCAAGTCACGCACGGTCTGGGCTCCATTTGCTCCCTGGTCACATGGGCCACAGCATTGCCAGCAGCCTAAGTGAGGCCCAGAGAAGCATGCTTCGCGAGCGTGGCGCACGGTCACCGTGGTTTGGTCCTTCAGGGCCGGCCCTCCTTTACGCAGCCCTGCACTGGAGCTCCTCGGGTCCTTGCTGGGATGCTCCCCCGGGTCCCGCTGACCAAGGCAGTGGGTGCTGAGGGGTCGGGGCGGTACATCCGTGAACCTGGAGGCTTCCTGTGAGGGCGAAGCTTCGTGTGCACATTAGGGTTCGCGCCCTCCTCACACTCTGCCAGGGACACAGCAGCTCCCGGCCCGGGTGTTGTTGCGGCCACAGAGCAGAAAGAGCCGCTGCTTGCCGCGGGTGCTGAGACCGAGGGAGGGGCGGGAGACCCACAGGAAGGCCCAAGTCCGGGAAAGGCTCACGAATTATGCCTGACCTTTCTTTTTCAGGACGTGCCCCTCCAATATGGTGACGCCAGCCAGAGAGCATCAGAAGGTGAGGCCCTCACCCCAGCTCTCCAGCCCAGGTCTCCTCCCTGCTCCCCACCCCAGCAGGCCGATCCAGGAAGGACGGGCTGTGGTCCCGGCTCTCCGGCAGGAGGATAGGGAGAGAAGGCGGCGTTCGCGCACAGGGACGGGGGCCCCAGGGGCGGGAGCTTCCCACTGAGGGTGAATGCCAGGGTGCTCCTGGGCTGATGGGGGTCTAGACCCCAGCTTGCCCACCGGACCCTGGTGCTCGGGAGCCCGGGAGCCGCTCTCGTGATAGGAAGCGAGTCGGGCCAGAGAGGGATACGGTGGGTTGAGGGTGAGTCTCGCGGTGACAGAGCCGTGGACTCTCGCTCCAGGAGGTGATAGGACCAGGCACTGGCCCACAGGGAGCTGGAAGCTGGGTGTGGAGCGTCTGACCTGAGGGAAACCAGGAAAGGAGGGAAGGTGTCAGCTTTGCCTTTCTGAGCCCACGCAGGCCCCCAGGCCATGGCACCACCTCCCATGTACACTCTTTCCTCCCCAGGGCAACTCTCCCTGGATTCCCAGGAGGGGGACAGCGGCCTGGACTCGGGGACAGAACGCTTCCCGTCCCTCAATGAGGTGAGTGCCTGCAGGGGCCAGCCCCGTCTCAAACTGTGGCCGGTTGTGCCGTGGCCTCCGACCTACCACATCTGTGCCTCAGCCACGCTCCCAGCTCCTGGACTTCTAGCCGCTCTGCTCTGCGTGCAGAAGGGGTTTCACACGCGCCCTGCGTGCAGGACCGTCAGACTCAGCGTCTGTTTTGTAAGGAGTCGGGCAGAGAGAGGCGCACCTACAGTGGCAAGCCTCTGGGTGTGAGGAAGCAGCCGCAGCCACGGCCGCACACGTGGGTCCTTCCCGGCTGTAGCCACGCCATCTTGGACGTGTGCCCAGAGCCGGCCCAGTGGGAGGAGCAGCGGGGTCTGCCGCGGAGCACCGTCGTGCGCGCCGAGCAGGGCACCCTGTAACCGAAGGCTCTGTGTGCCGCTGGGCGTGTGCACCTGGGCGTGGGCATCACCAGACCAGCCAAGGGGGACCTTCTGGAAGGGCTTTCTGTTCCTCCAGGCACTACTGAGTCGGAACTCAGCACTGTCGGACCCTGGGCTGGACAGTCCCCGCACCTCACCTGTGGTCATGGCCCGGCTGGCCCAGCACCACCGGCGGCAGGCCTCGGACACGCCAGTGCCCGGCGCCGGCGACCAGGTGAGGGGTCCAGAGCCCCTTGTGGTTCTCCCTCCCGCCTCCAGAACCAGCGTACCCGGGGTCTGGCCAGGAATACTCCAGCTAAACCCCCTGGAAGGGGGACTTTGCCTAGAGAATGAGAGTGAGGGAGGAACGTGGTGTGAGCGGCTGCTTGTGAGGACGCGTGGACATGTCCGCGGGGAAGGGACAGACGGGGAAGAGCAGGTGACGTCTGCATGAAGTGCACAGAGCTTTGTTCGGTGTCTCCAGCACGCCCCGTGCTCGTCCGTCTTTAGGGAAACGCCGGTCTTACACCGGATCTTGCTGTTCAGCATCCTAACGTAGGAGCCAGACAGACGTCCGCTACCTGGGAACCTGCCCCAGGCGCGTCCACCCGCCAGGGGTGCTTCCCTGTGCCCCCATGGCCCTGAAAACCTGGTGTGGCCGCCACTGCCTGCAGGGGTAGACTGGGTGCAGGGGGGCAGCGGGAGGAGCGTTGTGGGCTCAGTGCAGGGACTCTGAGCTGTTGTGGGGCTTCTGACGTTTTGGAGGCAGAAGCTGGGTCCCAGCATGGGAGCAGCATGGCAAGAGCTCCTGGTGTTGTGCAACAGCGTTTCCCAGCGTCCACCCACCCCCTGCCCTCCCCGGGGCACTGTGGGGCCATGCCCCGGGCTCGTGCTTCTCTGGAGCGGGGGCTCCCTCGGGCGGAGGACAGGAGCCAGTGTGGAGGCCCTGGCCACGGAGTCCTTTCTCCGTTCCCCAGAAAACCGTGGGAGTTGTTATCTTTGAATGACAGGAGCGGCTACAGAACGGCCCCCGTTTCTGAATCGTACTCTGCGGTTGAAGGCAGGGCTGGGGGGGACCATCGCACAGAGCAGCAGCAGATGGAACCATCCGGAACTCATGTGTTCTCTCGTGTAACTGGATAACGTCTGATTTTTATTTTTTAATAATGAGCATCTTCTGCCTTCATAATCAGAAAAACTGCGTATTTGTAAAGACTTTTAAAATAACCTCCCCTCTTTCCACAACAAGCCAAAACCTGGTGTTTTCACGCGTCACCCGAGAGCCAGGTAGAGCCACAGGTGGCCATCCAGCGTCCCCTGGGGATTCCGGATCCCGTGCCGCGGACGCTGAGAGGGGCCGGAACGCAGGCTGCGTCTGCATTCAGTGTCTCTGGCCTCGCTCTTCCCGTGTCAGCGGGTGCTGAGCTCTGGTCACTGACCTACCTTCTGGGCCTCGGGTTCTCTGACTCCCGTGCTGAGCGTCAGGTCCACAAACGTCTAGGGGAAAAGGATGAGCGAGGGGCACCCGGGAGGCGCCATCAGGGGAGGCCGCTGGAGTGAAGGGGCGGGAGGCGTCTGACACCAGGGAGAGGGTGGGTTTGAGTGACCTGGGGAGCCCGTGGAAATGAGGCAGGTTGCATTGAGTGGAGAACACGGCTGGGAGGGACCTCTGCGAGGCCAAGGAACCGTCCGGGGAAGCGTCCAGAAGGCCTGTGCAGGATGAACTCTCTCGTCGTTCCTAACGTCAGCTCACCAGTTAGGGCTCAGTTTTAGTAAAATTGGTGCAGAGAAGCAAGTCACACTGAGAAACCTGGATTTGAGACCTGTCATAGCCTCGGGCAGGCCGCAGGGGCCAGAGGTCAGCTCTGTGCCCTCTGCTCCAGGAGGCAGGGGTGGGGAGCTGTCCTGGGACAGAGCGGCCGGTGCTGCAGGCGCTGGTGTGGGCTGTGGTGGGCGCAGGTGTGGCTGCTGAGGGGACAACGGAGCCTTAGCCCACCATCGCCAGAGCTGGCACTGCCCCCCGGGGCTTTCGCAAACAGGAAGAGCACCCCTGCTCTCGCTTCCCGTGCCCACGCACACGTGCCCTGGCAGCCCCGCCCGGAAGCTCTTGACTTCTGCAAGTGGAAATTGTCGTCCTGTCCGCTGAGACTTTGGGGACGTGGGGAGATGCCACGTTCACCAGACCGTGCGGCGTTCCTTGCCGGTGCTGCACTGTTAACTCCCGTTCCCTAACCTCTGCTCCCTGCCACTGGCTTCTCTCCCCAGGGCGCAGACCAGAGCCCGAAGCCTTTAATTATTGGCCCAGAGGAAGATTATGACCCGGGTTATTTCAACAACGAGGTAACGGTTTCCTGGTCTCCTTTCGTCATGGTCCCATCAGCTGCCGTTGCTAGAGGCAGGGAGGGCCGCCGCGGGTGTGCAGGGCGGGCCCCGCCGCTTGTCGGCTTGGGGCGGCAGGAGCCATGGGGGCCCAGCTGCAGGAGGCCGAGCTGCTGTGCCCCGAGTCCAGCCGCCCCCGTGCTCCTGCGTTGCAGAGCGACCGCGTCTTCCAGGACCTGGGGAAGCTGAAGGCTCGGCCCGCGCACCTGGCCGTTTTCCTGCGCTACATCTTCTCTCAGGCTGACCCCAGTCCTCTGGTGAGTCAGGAGCAGTGTCCTGACCGGCGCCTGCGGGTGCCCTCCCTTCCGCCTCCGCCCTCGAGAGGGGCCGGATCCGCGGGCTGCAGCAGGTGCTCAGGGACAGACCCTGGGCCGAGAAGGTGCGAGTCCGGAGGGCTTCCTGTGTCCTGGGCAGGTGCTGGGGGGCGAGGCGGGACCCTGCCCCTGTTCTCAGTCTGGTCGGAGGACACGGTCTCTCCCGGGCAACACCAGGGATGGCAGATCCGCAGCGTTCCCCTGGGCGAGGGGACAGAGGTGATGATGGCACGCGTGGGGACAGGATGCCCGGGGCCAGGGCTCAGGGCAGGCAGCCTCAGCAGCTTTTCTCGTGCTGCTCCGTGCTTGGAGAATGACGGACGAGAGAGGAGGGCCTTGTGTCCCTCACGAGACCCAGACCGCTGATTTCCCGAGGTTGAGCCTGGGTCAACATCACGCGCCCCGCAGGTGTGCCCTGAGCACCTGACACCGGCCATGAGACAGAAGCAAAACACGGACCCTCAGGAGACGGGGGGAGACAGAAGAGGACGAGGCCAAACCTCAGGGGCAGGGGCGCGCAGAGTCCTTCGCTGGAGGCTATGGGCTGAGGCTGGCGTGGATTTGCCCGAGGGTTTGAACACGAAGCCAGGGCTTCTCAGCCTGCGTGTGGCCACGTTGAGCTGTAGGTTGCTCATTGGGCCTGTCGGGTGCGTCTTTCCTTCTCAGCTGTGTCACGAGGCTGCACCCGCCAGGCATCCCAGCACCTCTCCCGGGAAGGGTCACAGAGGTCTCCAGGCCCTGCCCGTCTTCCCCTGGGGCTGGAATCCCGCTCCAGAGTCGGGGCGTGGGGAACTGCTGCTCCAACCCATTTTCTCTCTCCTCCTAGCTTTTTTACCTGTGCACAGAAGTTTATCAGCAGACAAACCCCAAGGATTCTCGAACCTTAGGAAAAGACATCTGGAACATTTTTCTAGAGAAAAATGCGGTAAGGCAGTCACGGATTCAGTTAATTTTACTGGACCCTTGGGGCCACTCAGGAGCAGAGGGAAAATGAAGCCACGCTTTTAGGCTGGATGGAGACAGGTTCTTGAGAAGAAGTCGGGTCTGAGGGCTCCTGGGTCGTGTTCACGCCCTGCTTTCAACCCTGAGCTCCTGTCCTGGCCCCTTCATTCCCCGTGTACACGGTAGAAGTCACATTGCCTGTCCCCTGGGCCACAGCTGCTTCCCCCCAACCCTCCCTGCCTGCCCATCAGGGGACAGAGCAGCAAAGACACAGAGACACACACCCCCCCCCCCCCCCCCCCCCCCCCCGCGATGGCAGTCGAGATCAGTGAGCCATGACAAGGAGCCAGGGTTCTGACAGTCAGAGCCCTTGGGGATACCGCTCAAAGTGGGGTTTGCAAGGAAGAAGCCCAGGGTGTAGGCAGAGGAGCGCCATGCGAGGGGACAGGGCCACGACAGTGCCCCCTCCCCCCTGCCCCACACAGGGCACCGTGGGCCTAGTCTGACCAGTGACTTTAGTCTTCCAGTTCCACAGTGTGAGCTCGGCGGGATTAATGAGATTGGGGAGTGAGCTGTGTTCCTCAGGACTTGCGTGTCCATCCCCTTGCATGGGTCTGGAGAAGGGTGGCGGCTGCCAGCCTGTCCCTGCGGCCATGTCCTTGTGCTCTGTGCTCCATGGGACGCTCGGCCATAGGAGGGAGCAGACGAGAGGGCCCAGCGAAGTTTCCCTGTTGCTGCTCAGTTGGCAACAGTAGGGAACTGGCAGATCCATGGGGCCGGCCCAGAAGGTGGCCAGCTGGCCCTGTGGCTTCAGGTTCCATTTCTCAAACGCCCTAGCCTCGCGTGCAGGCTCACAGGGGAGTGGGGCGGAGGGGACAAGTGGCAGGTGTCAGGGAAGGAGACGAGGAGGGTTGGGAGGCCCTCCTTGCCTCAGGGTGACGTCTCCCACGTGCCCTGGGCTGGGGGTCTCACCACTCACCCCTACTATCCCTTCTTGTAGCCGCTGAGAGTAAAAGTCCCAGAGGTGTTGCAGGCTGAAATTGGTAAGTCAGCTCATGGGCCACTTAGTGTCGTCCTGGGTCCTGGGGGGCTCCAGAGCACAGAGGGCACATAGCCCATCCTTGGGCACCCCTCCTCTAGGAAGGGGAGGTGGGGGCCCTTCCTCCAGAGCGCCTCGCGGTAGCTGGAGGACAAGCACCAGGGGACAGGCTCTGCCTGGGGAGCTCATCCCAGGGAGGGAAGACGTGACCCCCTCAAACTTGCGCTCAGTTCTGCCCTCCATCCGCCTGCACGCAGCAGGGTCATCTGTACCAAGGGGAGGTGGGACTTGAGGGGTTCCTAAGCCTGGTTGAGCATCAGAATCCCTTGGGGAGTTCTACAAAGTCCAGAAACCGGGGCTTCCTCCATCCCACGTCAGGGTCGGCAGTTTTGGTTCTGTAAGTTCCTCACTGATGCTGGGAGCAGCGGCCCAGAGAGGACCTGGCTGGCTAGGTGGTCGCTCCATTCCCTTCTCACGCTCTGCTCATGAGTAGAAGAGCTAAGGGAAAGTGGCCTAGAGGGCAGCAGCCCAAGGAGGGGTCCCAGGCGGCTTTCTGGACGATAGGTTTCCCACGGTCGAGGGTGAACGGAGCTGGGCAGGGACTGGCCCTTGCCCGTGTGATGCTGCCGCAGGGACAGGACAGACTCAGCTCAGGTCCCATGAGGGCCTTGCCTCCTCAGGCTCGTGCACTGGCCGGGCAGCCCCTGGGGCACGTCTGACGGCAGGCAGGGCTCTAAGGTCCTTCCACGTCATGTGGTTTGGAACGCCCAGGGGTCGTGTCCTCACTTTGGGACCTGGACGTCAGGGCTCCGGTCCTAGATTCAGGAGTGACCAGCTGGATCCAGGCCTCCACCTCCCTTGGCTCACAGGAGGGCGGAAAGCCGGCCTCCCTCTGGGCTACTGGGGGTTCCCCAGGTGCGGGCCCCTCCTCTGACGCCCCATTTCTGTCCTCCCTGGGTTCCCACCAGACCTGCGTCTGCGCGCCAGTGAGGACATCCGCATCGCGCTCCGTGAGGCTCAGGAGGCGGCCATGCCCGAGATCCAGGAGCAGATGCAGGATTACAGGTGCTGGCCTCTCTGTCTCCCTCTGCCTCAGCACCCGCTGTCCCCGCGCCGAGTGCGTCCTGTCTGTGCACGTGCACTTGCCCCTGCTGGGTCTCTGTCGGGCATCTGTGTACGTGTCTCTCTCTGACTCAGGGCAAAGCGCACCCTGGGGCTAGGCAGTCTGTACGGGGAGAACGACCTGCTGGGCCTGGACGGGGACCCTGTCCGAGAACGCCAAGTGGCTGAGAAGCAGCTGGCCGCCCTGGCGGACATTCTGTGAGTGCGCTCTCCATACCCACCCCTGCACGAACACACGCGACCATTTGTGGGTCTGCGCCCTAGCGTCTCCCCTCCACGTCCACCCCACGCTTCTTCCCCACTGGCTCTCCCGCTGCCTTTCTCAGGCGAGGGCGGTGGCACTCTGTGGCGGTGCAGGGCCTGGGGCTGCCCACAGGAGCCGCCTCCTGCCTGCGCCGCCTCCTGCCTGCATGTTCCGTGGACACTGGCGGGAGGCCCACGCCACATGTCTGCAGGGGGGCTGCCTTCCCGAGGCAGATGAGCTGGAGGACGGGCGAGGGGCTGCATTTAACGAATGGCTCGGAAGACCGGCGTAGCGCGAGGAAGGAGCTCGCAGCACAGCGGCCGTGCTTCTCCAGCCCATCTCAACAGCGTCCCCTGCGTGACTTTGTGGGCACATGTCAGGCTTCGGGCCTATGTGACCTCAGTCTCAGCTACACACTGACAAAAGGGGGACAAGACGGTCTCCGTAGTCTGTTCACGTGGCCGTTCTGAGCTGTGAGATTTGTTGGGTCTCTTCTGGGCTCCTTGGATGTGTTCACGAGCAAAAGAGCAGTTCCCGCGATGCTGACGCGGTGGCGGGAGGAGAAGGCCACGTTGGACGCGCACATTCTGTAGCGCGTTTGGAATGCGGAGGGGGAGGCAGCAGCTCCGAGGAAGGGGTCCGGAGCCAGCGCGAGGCCGTTTCAAATAGCAGGGTCAGGGCAAGCCACACCTGGAGAGCAACACTGGGCCACCTGCAGGACGTGGGCCGCTCTTCCTCGCGGCACCTGGGAGAAGCGCATCCCAGGCAGAGGGAGGCGGGGCGGGTGGGCGCGCTTGGTATCTGGGGGCTGCGGAGAGCCGCGTGGCTGGGGCTCGTGGAGAAGGTCTGGGCTGACGTCCGGGGCCGGAAGGGGCAGCCGCTGAGCCTTCAGCCGCGCCTCGGACCTCCCGGGCCCCCTGCCCTAGTGGCCTGACGGCAGGAGTCCGCCCGACCGCTCCAGGGCTGAGCGCGGCACCAGCCCGTACGGCGATCAGTGTCTCCGACGCGTGAGCTCCCCGCTTGGGGCCGAGCAGGGACGCCTTGGTCTCGATCACGGAGACCTGCTGCTGGCTCGCGTGCCGTTCCGAGAATCCTGTGCGTTAACGTGTCCGAGTTCACGCGTGTCAGGCAGCACCTGGTCCCAAGCGGACCCTCCAGCGTTTGTTGCCGGTGCCATTTGCCTGGTAAACCGGTTCCCTTAGATCCGGTCTCAGGGTACGACCTTCTGTCCTCGCTCAGTGGGCGCGGCAGAGCCCCTTTCTCCAGGATACTTGCTGGGGCTGTGCGGAGGCCCCCAGGGGAGGGAGAGCTGTCCCTGCCTGGGCCCCACGCCAGCTCCGAGCGGAGACCAAGAGTCAAGGCCCAGCCTCCATCCCCCATGGCCCCCATCTTCCACGTCTGCGCAGTGGACACGGCTGCAGATGGACACAGCTGTGCCCCGTGGTGCGAGTCACTTGTCCTTTCTTTTATTCCAGGTCCAAGTACGAGGAGGACAGGAGGTAAGTATGATGTTATGGGGGCCCCTGGCCTCGGGGGTCACAGTCTGCATGTCCCCCCAGTCACAGCGGGGTGTGGGGTCCAGGCCGCTGCTGTTCCAGGACCACCGCCTGGGTGGCAGGGACAGCACAAGCACTCTGCCCGCGCCCCCTCCCCCCCACCGTCGCAGCGCCCCCATGGACTTCGCCCTCAATGCCTACATGAGCCATGCCGGGCTCCGTCTCCGAGAGGCACGGCCTTCCAGTGCAGCTGAAAAGGCCCAGGCAGCTCCCGACAGGGACAAGTGGCTGCCCTTCTTCCCAAAGACCAAGAAGGTGACAGAGCTATCTAGAAAGTATCTTCTGCTGCGGTTCTCTCCCGGGGGGGGACATGCTGGGAAAGTCCCCCCACCCCATCCCTGCCCTTGACCCCCACTGCCCTCACGTGAGTGTCCATGAGGACCTACAGATGAGCTCAGACCCAGGCCGGTAGCACCCAGGCCGGCGCAGGAACATGTGGGAGTCTGCTTCCCGGTTCGGGGAGCACCTTGGGGCCAGTGGCCACGTCTGGGGACCAGGACCTTCTCCAAATCCGGTGTCTCTTGTCTCAGCAGAGCAGCAATTCCAAAAAAGACAAGGATGCCTTGGAGGACAAGAGGCGAAACCCTATCCTCAAGTACATCGGGAAGCCTAAAAGCTCTTCACAGAGCAGTGAGTCTAGGGGGTCGGTGGCCTGGGCAGGGCGCAGCCCCGGGCCCACACACCACTTCCTGTCCCTGCTGCTCAGTCTCCCCTTGCCGGTGCGTGTGGGCTTTTCCAGGGACAGGGGCCAGAAGGCCATGCTGGTCCCTGGGCCTGAGTCTAGAAACTCAGAGCCCGTGTGGCCGCGGAGGACCACCCCACCCCTGCCAGCGGCAGTAACTGCCCCATCCACCTTCTCCAGTGGGCTTCGTCCAGGCCCCGGAGGTATGCGGGGGCACATGGGGGCCCTCAAGGGGACGTCCGAGTGACCATGCAGCAGAGCTAGGCAGATGGGGGCAGGTTTGGGGCCCAGAGGCCCCCCGATGCTACTGCATACCCGGAACCCAGGTGGGCCATTTGCAGTCTCCCGGCTCCGTCATTGCTCCAGAACTTGCCGCCGGCCCCTGGGCAGCATCTTCAGCCGCCACCGTTGGTCTCAGGAGTCTGGGAAGGGCCCTGGGGTGGGCCGGCAGCCTTTTTGGCAATTGCTCTGGGGTTGGGGGGGGGGGTCTCTTCCCGATAAGACCAGAGGTTTGCTGCCACCTTTTCACTTTCCAGCTCGATGTAAGTTTTGTTTTGAGTCTTGAAGCATTGGTTTGACTTTTCATGGTTTACTTTTGTTTCTGTTTGTTTTTTTTTTAGCATTTCATATTCCCTTGTCCCCTGTGGAAGGTAAAAGGACCATTTTCTGTGGGTTTTTCTTTGCTTTAGCTTTGAGTTTCCATCTCTCAAGTCTGTGTCTCCTCTCCCTGTTGGCCCCTCCTCCGTCCGTCCATCCTTTTCCTCTGTTTGTCCGTCCCTGCTGCCCCAGCAGCCCTGTGACACAGCCCTCTCCAGGCGCTGCTCTCTGCCTCTCTCCCGTCTCGGGGAACGGGCTGCAGAAGTGCCGGGGCTCTGTGTGCACGCGGGAGGCCACGTCCCACACGGTCTCCTCGGATTTTTGTTTCCCTTGAAATGACAAAACTCCTCATTCTCGAGGGTTGTGCGGGCTTTCTTCAGTAGACAGCAGGTCTCTCACCGTGCTCTGGGGCTTTTACTGTCTGTCCACGCCTCTGCTTCAACCCTCCGGCGTGGCCCCTCCCTGACCCTGACTCTGAGTGTGGATGGCGCCGCCTTAGTGTGGTGGTTAGAGGGAGTGTCCCGCCGTGCATGGTAGCCTCGGGTGGCTTAGGCTCCGCGCATGGAAAAATCACGTCCTCACATCAACCCCGAGAGGCTGAGCGCCTCCAGGTAGGGGGAGCCCAGGTGCCGTGGATGCCCCCCTGCCCCCCGCACGAGCACCGTCACATGACAGGGACCCTCTGGCTGTGCAGTGGGTCTCTATGGAGAGAGCTGTGGGACGCAGTCAGGAAATCATCTGGGCCTTAGAAATCATTTTCTGTAAAATGACAGTTAAAAATAGTGATATTCGAAATTATTTTAAGGTTTTAAATTCCTAGATCCTTTACGCTACTTTAAAAAAAGAAAGTTTAAAATTCTGACAAAAGGTCTATAAAAACGGTAGAAAAATAAAAAGAATGGCCTTAAGTCCCAGGCCCTTTGTTCTTCACACGCCCCGTCGCGTCCGTCCTGCCTGAGAGAGAGCAGCAGCACCGATCTGCCACCCGGGGCCCCGGGAGGGTGAGGGGCCTGGCGGTCCCAGTAGTTTAACGATTGGGTTTGGTGTTCTCGAGTTCCCGGGACATCAAGAAAGTCTGGATCTGCATCTGAGGACCAGCCCACCCTCCCCGAGGCAGACACCCCACCACTGAGCATTGGACCGCTTGGGGTCACCCCTGATTAGCAGGGAGTCTGTCTGGTTGTTAGTAACGTGGACTCGATTTCTGTCTCGTTTCACTGTTATCCAGAGGATGGACGAGGGAGAATGGGGGACACCAGTGAAAAATGGGCTCGTTTTAACAAACAATGTTCCTTCCTGCCTGTTTTTCACCATTACCCTGACTTACTCGGTCATGCCGGCTCCCAGACCGCGCTGTCCCTCGTCATGGCGTGCGGCTACTTGCTGAGGACACGAGGCCCGCACGAGGGGAGCAGGGGCTCCGCCGGTGGCTGCATGTCCCAGGGCGTTCCCGGGCCCCACGCCATCTCCCCGGGCCGCTGCTCAGGGTGTGAGCTGCGTAGCCGAGCCCGGGACAGGTGGAGGTGGCCGCGGTCCCCAGAGTGAGGGTGACATAGCAGACCCTCATCCAAACACATCCTCACAGCCCCCTCGTAGCAGGTCTGGGAAACTGTTCCCCCAGCTGCTGCCCAAAGGGTACTGAGTTCCGCTTCCTCTGGCCTGGACGCGTTCTTGCAAAACCCAACGTCAGCTCTTCAGGGAGATGTGTACGTTTCCATAGGCGGGACTCCAGTTAGTGTAGGTAGGATCAGGGCTTCCCCAGCTCCTGTTCTGAGGTTCCTGGAGCTGAACTCACTGTCTTTGAGGAGGAGAGCCCCTCTCGGGCATCGCACGAGCCTTTTGAGTTTCTTACCTGTCCTGTTTCTTTGAATAAGAAACGTGAGAGAGAGACCACCCGTACTGCTCTGCAGATTAGTGGGAGAGGACCTGGAGCTAGACCAGGGGTCTGGTCCCAGGGACGGGTCTGGTCCAGGGGTCTGGTCCCAGGGACGAATCCAGAGGAAGAGCTATGTCTCCCGGCTCTAAACCCAGTGCTACTGTCATCCTGCTTGCTCATAGCTCTGTCTTCGGGGCCAGGCGGGAGCGAGGGTTTTGGGACGCTGTCCCCAGACAGAAAACCGAGTGCCCTTCTTTGTCTCTCTGCTTCCAGTCAAACCAGGCAACGTGAGGAACATCATTCAGCACTTTGAGAACAACCAGCCATATGAGGCCCCAGAGCCCGGGACGCAGCGGCTGTCCACCGGCAGCTTCCCCGAGGACCTGCTGGAGAGTGACAGGTGAGGGGGGCCACGTGGTGCTGGCCACCTCCCCAAGGAGGGGAGCCGGGGCAGGGACTGCAGCCAGCATCAACCCCGCTGCCTCGCCCGCTCCCTTAGCCCATAAGGCGCCCGCTGCAGGGCTCGCAAGTGCTCCCTTAGCCTCCCCGCCTGGGGACCGTTGGGGAAGCACGCGCTCCATGTTGGCAGTGAGGCCCGTGGAGGACGGAGCCGGGCCCCTGACCGCCCAGCCTGGGGCTGCTCACCCTCAGCATCTGCTCTGGATTCATCCGGGGCTTCTGAGCAGCGTCCGTCCCGGGAATGAGCTAGAGGCTGAGATAGAGCTGCTGATCGGGTCGCCACAGGTGTCAAGGCGAGAGAAGACCATGGGGCAGGGCGGTAGGAGACAGTCCTGGGAAATAGCGAGGTCGGAGATGGTTGTGGGCGCCCGTGAGGAAGAGCTCTGGAGATGGAGCTCGCCCGCCTCCGAGCACAGTGCACTTCCCTCTCAAGAAACGCAGGGTCTGCAGCGCACTCTCTGGGTTCTCATGAGAGCCCTTCTCTGGCTTGGGCTTGCCCTGGACTGTGGTGTGACAGTAGCCACGACCCGTCTCGGACTCTCGGCCAGCACTTCAGTGAGAAACCTCTGGTCGGAAAGCTCCAAGCACGTTCCCTCAGTCACTCTCGAGCTGTAATCCCCGTGGTCCTGCGTGTGCAGAAAGAACACGCGTGTGCGCTCGAGCCTGAGCCCCTGAGCGGGCGGGCACGCAGTCCCCAGGGAGCAGCCCGGGTGGCCAGACCGTTCCCGCTCACACCCGAGGCTGCTCGTTTGCAGGCCGCGTCTGCGAGCCTCGTGCGCTGGGACGACTCTGCCGTAGGGAGGCCGTTGGAGAGTCGGGGAAGAGGGAGGTTACCTTGTCCCGAGCTGAGAGATTGAGTGCTGGTACCAGCGAGCGCGTCAGATGAACGGTTCTGTAGACGTAATAACGTTTTGGGAATAAGGCGAGGCCTTCTGCAAACTTGTGTTCTTGAGGCTGTCAGGGAACGAACTGTGCCCTGAGGCCCTCACTAGGCTTCTGAGTCCACGGTTGGCAGAGCCCTCGGCCTGGCCGATGGTAAGCCCGCCCGGCCCTCTCCGCGGCACAGTGGGGCCAGGCTCGGCAGGTGAGAGGACCCCCAGTTCCAGAAGGCAGCCTTCCTTCTAGGGACGGGGCCAGAGGTGGTTGTGCGCCCTGCTCCTGGGGAGGAGCATCACTCACCCGTGGGGCCCTGGAGGAGGCCGTGAGGCACTCACCGGGCTCAGGCGGCCACTGTGGGGTGCTGGCGAGAGTGCTGGTGGCAGGCTTGATAGGAGCAGCTCTCACTGACCCCAGGGGGTGTTCAGAGGCGATCGGCTGGCGGCGGCTCCTAACCCTCAGGACCCCGGGGGCAGCTCCGTTTGGGTCCTTGGCGGTTCGGAGAGGCATGATAAATGGGGACCGAGCTACTTGGTTCTTTCTCTGTGGCAGCCTGCTGTGTGACTTAAGAGCTCCCTGCGCTCTGCAGGGGGGTGGAGATGAGTGACAGTGGCAGCAGGGCCAGGCAGGGAGGCCCCACCCCGGGGCAGTCAGGGGTCCGAGGTGCCAGTTGCCACCGTGGTCCTGCACTGCAGGACGCAGAGGAGAGCAGCACCGGCCGTTGGCCTCTCACGTCCCAGAGACACTCGGTGGCCAAACATGGCTGCCAGGGCACAGCTTCCTCCTGTCAGAAGCCAGCACCCCGCCCCCAAGCCGGCCTGCTGCCAGGAGGGGAGGCAGAAGCCGGGAAGCGTGCACAAGACAGGAACGGGAGACCCTGCGCCGCGGCTGGGGCAAGAGGCCAGCAGCGGGTAGACCTTGTGCCAGGCCTGCCAGTGAGGAGGCTGGCATGCGTGCGAGAGGATAGCATCTGTCCCCCATGGTAGGAAGTCCCAGAAAAGGAGAGCTCTGCCTCCAGCAGAGTCCGCGGTGGGGGCTGACCTGCTCCAGAGCCGAGGGCAAGGGGCATTGGCCACCACACGGCCCAGGATCTGGGCCTCCAGTGCCCACAGCTGTCCTGGCGGCTCCAGTCTTCGGCAGCTGTACACAGCACAAGTCTGGTCTGTTGGTCCCAGATGTTCCTTGTCCTCTGGACGGAGACTGTAGGGCAGCAGCAGGAGTTGTCACTGGGAAGTTAAGGCCCCGTGGGTTGGGGGTAGAGGACCCCTGAGTCAGGGTCACAGGTATAAGCCGTCCAGGCTGTCGGACCCTGGGTCTCTTGCCCTGCTCCCCAGCTCCCGCTCAGAGATCCGCCTGGGCCGCTCTGAGAGCCTGAAGGGCCGGGAAGAGATGAAGCGGTCACGGAAGGCGGAAAACGTGCCGCGCTCTCGCAGCGACGTGGACATGGACGCGGCCGCGGAAGCTGCCCGCCTCCACCAGTCAGCCTCCTCCTCTGCCTCCAGCCTCTCCACCAGGTGGGCAGGGTTTGGGCAGCCGGGTGGGGGGGGGGGGGGAGGAGGGCAGGGGTGCTCTCTCGGGGCAGCGGGTGCTGAGGGCTGACTTCCTCCACAGGTCTCTGGAGAACCCGACCCCTCCCTTCACCCCCAAAATGGGCCGCAGGTGAGTGAGGCGCCCGGCCCCGAGCGGCTGGTTGGGTGTACGCACCCGTCTGCACGGCCGGTGGTTCTGCCGGGCATGGGGCAAGCGGGTCGGACTGGCCGTCGTGTGCACCCTTCCTCCTCACGGACTGGCCCTCTTCCCCTAGGAGCATTGAGTCCCCCAGCCTGGGGTTCTGCACAGACGCCCTCCTCCCGCACCTGCTAGAGGATGATCTGGGCCAGCTGTCAGACCTGGAGCCGGAGCCAGACGCTCAGAACTGGCAGCACACGGTGGGCAAGGACGTGGTGGCCGGGCTAAGCCAGAGGGAGATTGACCGGCAGGAGGTCATCAACGGTGAGGGTGTGCGCCCGACACTCGGGCGGCGCCCCGGGGATGGGACCGGCTCCGCGTCGCCGTGCCTTCCCCGGGGGTGGCGGAAGTAGCCACTGGGACGCCAGCGCCCGAATGCCTCAGCAGTGAGGTGGTTGGGGGTGACAGCCGTCCCTTCGGATGCTTGCTGACGTCTCCCGCTCTGTCTTCCTCCCGTCCCGTGACACCCTGCTCAGAGCTGTTTGTGACGGAAGCGTCCCATCTGCGCACACTCCGGGTCCTCGACCTGATCTTCTACCAGCGGATGAAGAAGGAGAACCTGATGCCCCGAGAGGAGCTGGCCCGGCTCTTCCCCAACCTGCCCGAGCTCATCGAGATCCACAGTGAGGGGCCATCCTCCCCACCTGCTGCCCCCCCCCCACACACATGCCTGCTCCAGCTGGCCTCCAGGTCTCTCTGTCCCTTGTCCCCCCACACGCCAGGGCCCCCTTGAGCAGATGCCTGTCGCCAGTGCTCCCTGGCCTGGAAAGCAGCATTCCCCTTTCCCTGGACCCTTCCCTGCCCGGCACTGGTGCCACGGGTCCCCTCTGAGGGTGGCACTGGGTCCGGCCACATAGCTCTGCCCCAGGCCCCCATGTCCCTTCTGTCCGTCCCAGATTCCTGGTGCGAGGCCATGAGGAAGCTCCGGGAGGAGGGCCCCATTGTCAAGGACATCGGTGACCTCATGCTGGCTCGGGTATGCCTGGAGGAAGCGGGTCCCCTTTCCCACGGCTGCACAAGTGGCGGAGGAGGGTATGGGGCCGGCATGTGACGCCCAGACGGTGTCCCTCGTGCCGCAGTTCGACGGCCCTGCCCGGGAGGAGCTCCAGCAGGTGGCTGCCCAGTTCTGCTCCTGCCAGTCTGCCGCCCTGGGGCTCATCAAGGCCAAGCAGCGCAAGGAGAGCCGTTTCCAGCTGTTCATGCAGGTGCGCCCACGGCCAGCAGGGGGAGCCCCGGGCCTCCCCCTGCCCATCCACACTCAGAAACGTGGCCCGGTTCCTGCTCTCAGGACAGACCGCTGCTCCCCAAAAGGGACCCGATCCGTGGTCAGGAGGCCCCGTTCACTCCCAGGGCCCGTGGGCACGGAGGCGATGTCCACTTCCTCGTCCATAAAGTGGGCATGGCAGTTGCATAGGGGCGCCTGTCTGGCCACCCCCTTCCCTGAGTTCCCTCCCTGCCCCCACCCACCTTCCCCTAAATATTTAAGGAGTTGCTTTCCGGGATCAGGACCCACTTGGAATTTTCACACCCATCTGGGTCCTGAGCCCATTGGCCGGTTCCTGACTGGGCTGACCTCTCCGTCCGCACCCCCATCCTTCCAGGAGGCTGAGAGCCACCCCCAGTGCCGGCGCCTGCAGCTCAGGGACCTCATCATCTCAGAGATGCAGCGGCTTACCAAGTACCCCCTGCTGCTGGAGAGCGTCCTCAAGCACACGGAGGGTAGGGCACCGGGCGCATGGCCCCATGCAGACCTCCTCCAAGCGCAACCCTGCTTTGTGACCTTTCAAGAGACCTTCCCGGTCTTCAGGGTCTGGTTCCTGGCCTCATTAGGGTCCGTCCAAGAGAGCGATCACAGCTATGCCCTGGGGAAGATAAGGTGTTCAGAGGCGAGAGGAGGGAAGGCGGGGCCTCCGGCCTGCGTGGGGTCTGAGGAAGCATCTGGATGCACACGGGGTTGGCACATGGACTCTGCCATGACCGTGGTCCCACCCCAGGGCCAAGACGCAGTCGGCGCCCACCCCGCCCATCCCCCTGCTGGATGCCTCCAGGCCCTTAGACTTGGGATGTTGGAGTCCGGGTATGGAGTGGCCCCCGGAGGCTGTCCCTGCCCCCAGCCGGTCCCCGGCCCTGCCCCATGTCCCCAGAGCTGGTTGCAGGCCAGATGGCAATTCCCAAGAGCTGCTGGTGTGTTCAGAGAGGGGCGGTCTGAAACCGAGGCCCCTCCGTGGCAGAGACCCTTAGTTTGAGGGCCTCAGTTAGGCAAAGGCAGCGCCCCGTGCCCATGCCTGCCAGCTCGCCAGGTGCATCAGGCTCCAACCGGCTTCCCAGGCAGGAGCCCCTGACCGCCACCTCCGCCCTGTCGGCAGGTGGCACCCCCGAGCACGAGAAGCTCTGCCGGGCACGGGACCAGTGCCGGGAGATCCTCAAGTACGTGAACGAAGCAGTGAAGCAGACAGAGAACCGGCACCGGCTGGAGGGCTACCAGAAGCGGCTGGACACCACGTCCCTGGAGAGGGCCAGCAACCCGTTGGCAGCAGAGTTCAAGGTGGGAACAGAGCCGGGGCCTGGAGGGACTCAGGGCGGGTGGCATGGCTAGTCTGGGATGTGGTGCCCCGATGGGACCCCACGCACACCCAGGCAGACAGCCCGTGGCGGGACCGGACGCTGGAACCTGGGGCGCTAGGGAGGGAATGAGACAGGGTCGGGGCGGGGAGACGCCTTGGTCCTACCCGTGCCCCACAGGGGCTTCCGAGCAGAGAGGGCCTCCTTTCCACCACTGGCCCCCAGCTCCTCCGCGGGGCGTCTGGCGCCTGGGCCTTTCTTGCACGTGCTCGACAAGCCAACGAGTGAGTGGCTTCTCCCTCCAGAGCCTGGACCTCACAGCCAGAAGGATGGTCCACGAGGGGCCCCTGAGCTGGAGGATCAGCAAGGACAAGAGCTTGGGTAGGTGTCTGGGCACGGAGGCCGCAGGGCTCCCCCGGGGGCAGGGACGGAGCAGCCGGCCCCTGACGGCAGCCCTCCCCACCGCAGACCTGCACGCGCTGCTGCTGGAGGACCTCCTGGTGCTGCTGCAGAGGCAGGACGAGAAGCTGCTGCTCAAATGCCACAGCAAGACGGCGGCGGGCTCGTCGGACAGCAAGCAGACCTTCAGCCCCGTGCTCAAGCTCAACGCCGTGCTCGTCCGCTCCGTGGCCACCGGTACCCACAGGGCTGGGGGCATCCCAGGGTCAAGCTCCCTGCCTCCCCCACGGACCCCCTGAGCCAGAGGATGGGGCCGGAGGGCATGGGGGTCAGGGGGTGTCTCATGTCAGCCAGACAGGCAGGAAAGGGCCCCGGAACAACACCTGCCGCGCCTCCGGGACTCACAGGCAGGGACAGGGATGAAGGCCCTCGTGCTCCCACCCTGTTAGGAGCGGAGGGTGGGAGATGGCTGTGAAAGGGACCTGTGAGTGCCTGTCCCAGCGTGGGCCCCACGGGGTGCACTGACCCAGTGCGTGTCATGCCATGGTCGAGGGTCCGGGCTCCAGGGCTGCTGTCACCTCCGTTGCCCGCCGCCAACCCTCCCCTCCCCCACACAGACAAGCGGGCCTTCTTCGTCATCTGCACCTCGGAGCTGGGCCCCCCCCAGATCTACGAGCTGGTGGCACTGACGTCGTCAGACAAGAACACGTGAGAATTGAGGGGGCCACATGTAGTTGCCTTCCCTTGGCCAGCGGGGTACGGGCCAGCGGGGACACGGGGACCCCGCAGGTGCAGGGGGTCGCAGGGCCACTGTCCTTGCCCAAGTCCAATGTCACCAGCGCCCCTTGCTCTTCTCGCTTCTGCCTGCTTCCTGCCCTCGGGGTCTGTCTGCCCCTCTAAGCTCCCTTCATCCACACGCCCTTGGCGGACGCCTGCCTCCCGGGCCATCACCCACCCACCCCATGTCGCCTCTCAGCACCTGACGAGGTGGCATGACTCAAAGCACAGACTGGTAGAGTCACACGGCATCTGTGTCAGGGCCGTGCTCTGGAGCGTGGGTCTGGCCTCTCAGGGGTCGTGTGGAGGGAGCAAGCAGCTGACGGCACTGAGCCCAGAGCCCCGCAGAGGCTCACTGGTCGCGGCTCGTGCTGCCACCGGGTGGGGGGGGATGCGCCCCGGCCTCGTTCTCACCACCAGTCCTCTCTGCTCCTGCCGAGCCACAGATGGATGGAGCTTTTGGAGGAGGCTGTGCGGAATGCCACCCGGCGCCCGGGAGGTGCCCCCACGCTCGCCCATGCCCCACCCCCGGGCACCCAGGAGCCGGCGCACCAGAGCCCCACACCCAGCAGGTGCTGGCCTGCAGGCCCCACGCGTCCTTGCTGCAGGCCACCTGCTTGCTGCTTCCGAGCCCTTCCCACCTCGGCCGTCTGCCCCGTCTCCTCTCCCCCCTACCTGGCTATCCTGGAGACCACGCCGGAGGGGGGTGCGGGGTATACGGTCAGGACTGGCAGAAGCCAGCAGCATCCGTCCTCCCCGCAAGGTTGCCGGCCAAGGGCAGATGCGAAGCCTTACACCTCCCCGTTCAGGATCCCCCCCTCGCTGCCAGTTCTGATGCAGGAGGCCAAGAGGCATCCGAGACCTCACCCCTTCTGGCTGGCAGAGAGTCAGAACCCCAGCGGGTGACCACTGGTGCCTTCTTCCCTCAGGGTCCAGCTCGATGGCTCAGAAGTGTTCCACAGTGAAACAGAGCCCGGGGAGCTGCCCGGAGGTACGTGCCCTGAGCTGTCTCTGCAGGACCCTCCCCCGCTCCCGCCGTCCAGTGTTAGAAGGGCAGATCAGGAGGTGACGGGAGAGGCGCTTGGGGCCCGAAGTGTGAGGTTTGGATAGAACAGAGAAGTGAGTGAGCAGGGCGTCCAACAGACCTGAGCGAGTATAGACAAGCTCGCATGGACAGAGGTTTTGTTGTTGTTGTTGTTGTTGTTGTTTTAAGATTTTATTTATTTGGCACACAGAGATCACAAGTAGGCAGACAGGCAGACAGAGAGAGGAAACAAGCTCCCCACTGAGCAGAGAACCCGATGCGGGGCTCGATCCCAGGACCCTGAGATCATGATCTGAGCCAAAGGCAGAGGCTTTAACCCACTGAGCCACCCAGGCGCCCTGGACAGAGGTTCTGACCCTGGCTCTCTGGGGACAGGTGTTTGGCCATTGGGTGGAGTCCAGGGGTCCCTGCTTCCTGCTGCTGGACATTTCTATGGAGAATGACATGCTGGGGGACAGTGTTCCCGGGCTGGGGCTGGGGAGGAAGGGTACGGGGGTCCCATTGAGCGATTCTCTGGGGAAGGATGTAGGATGCTGGGTTTAGAGAGAGACCTCCAGGCAGGCTTCTGCTCCAGGTCCCTTCCTGCCTCCTGCGGGTCTGTGGCCACGGGCCTTCTCCGGCTCTCGGTCTGCAGCATAAGCGGCGCCCCTGCCCGCCCCTGCCCACCCCTGCCGCAGCCTACGCTCTGCTGTCCCCGCACCCACAGCACTGCCTGCCGTGTTTCTCACAGAGGTCCCTGAGTGCTGTTGTTCATGGGTATCTCCCACTAGAACTTAAGGTCCCCATGGGCGGGGGACCCTTGTTTTATCGCTGCTGTGGGCCCAGAGCCTGGGCCAGTGTCTGGCCGTACCTGGTACTCAGTAAACATCAGTAAACGTCCCCAGAATGAATCAGCCAGGGTTCTGGTTCCCGTTGATCCAGAGCTGGGCATGGGGTCAGCCCCCACGGACCTTCCCTCCCCTGCCTCACGCCACCCTCCCACCCGCAGCAGGCCCTGGGCCCCAGCAGAGGGCGAAGGGGACGCACCCGGTCCTGCTGGAGGATCCCGAGCAGGAGGGCAGCCTGGAGGAGGAGCTGGGTGCCCTGCCTCACCCCTCCACGTCTGCGGATGGAGAGCACAGGGGCGGCCGGACGAGAGACCCCATCCTCCTGCCCCTCCCAGGCCCTCTGTTCATGGAAGGGTTGGCCGACTCAGCCCTGGAAGACGGTGAGTGCCTGGTGGACGCCCGTACACCCCACCAGCCGGAGGGCTCTCCCTGCGTGTGCTTGAGGAGAGAAGGGGCCCAGACGGTCGGGACCCCATGTCCCCACGCCCAGCTCCAGCCCGTGGGGAGCCGGGGGACGCCACCGCGCTCTTTCTCCTCCAGTGGAAAGCCTGAGACACCTCATCCTGGGGAGCCTACTGCAGGGTCAGCGCCCTGAGGCACAGCCTGCTGGGGAGCCTGAGGACGACCTCACCCCCACACCATCCCTCGGGAGCAGCACCTGTCACCCCGCGGACCCTGGCTCCCCAGGGCACAGCCTCCTGCGGGGGGAGGAGCCAGAGCGGGGGGACGCAGCTCTCCGCTCCCTGGAGCAGCTGCCCCCGCGGGCCCGGAATTCCGGGATCTGGGAGTCTCCCGAGCTGGACAGGAACCCCGAGGAGGAGGCTTTGAGCGCCGAGGCAGCAGGAAGTTACAAGGTGGTGAGAAAAGGTAAAGTGAAGGGGACGGCCCCCATGGAGACAGACCCCCAGCTCGCCAGGGCCAGGGCGAGTCTGCCAGGTGGCGCTGTAGCCCGGGGAGGCTGGCGCAGGGTCCTGGGGATGACACCGCCGCGCAGAAGCTTTGGGGTCAGAGGGCTTCAGAGCCTGTCCCCTAAAGTCTGTGGGACCCGAGACAAAGGCCGAGCCCCCGAACCTGACGGTAGCCTGAGGACGGCTGCATGAGCCAGCTGTCCCAGAAAGCATCTGCTGGGGGTCTAAGGAAGTCCCGCGGCTCCCCTGGGGGGGCCGCACCCCCGGCACCGGGCAGACACTGGGCAGACGCTCGAGGCCGCACTGAGGGCCCCACGGCAGGGGAGGGTGCGTGGCGAGCCGATGTGGAGGACGGAGGCCATGGGCAACGGCAGCCGGAAGAGCCAGGAGCAGTTGGGATGGGGGCTCGGGTGGGCTCTGGGCAGAGCAGGGACCCGGAGGGAGGGGAGGTCCCTGCGGCAGTGGGAGGAGGGAGGAGGCCTATGGAAAGGATGGAGTGAAGCCTGAAGAAGGTACTGGGGGCGGGGGCCAGGGAGGGGTCCCGGCCTCCGCTGCATTTCTGGCCCTGTCTGCCCAGGGCCCGCGCCGTCCTGGTTTCTGGGAACTGACCTTCCTTCTCTGCCCTTCGGTGAGCTGGTGGACGGCTTCTCAGCTGCCCTCTGGGCGCTTGCACGTGCGACCTGTGTTCACTTTATTGTCCCTCCTTTTTCTCCTCTGCTGCCTTCTCCCACTTTTCTGCTCCCCCTCCCCTCCCCTGCTCCTCCTCCCCTCCCCTGCTCCCTCTCCCCTCCCCTGCTCTCCTGGTCTCTGCTCTCCCTGGTGGTGGTGGCAGCTGGTGGCGGCACAGATGCAGTGGAGGTGGCGGGCAGCAAGGCCAGGCTCCCCGAGAGCGGCCGGTCAGGGCCTGAGCCACCCGACATGGAAGGCGGAGCAGAGGCTGCGGGTAACGAGCTTCCCCTTGGACCCAGAGCCAGACCAGGATCAGAGTGTGGGGCCTGTAGGAAGGGGGGCGGGGGTGGGCAGAGCCAGGCTTCGGGGGTTGACCCCTGCCTGCATTCACAGGGTGTTCCCTGAGAGCGTCCACGGGGGAGGAGTAGCACCCAGGGACAGGGGGAGCCCAGGCCCTAGTCGGGAGACTGGTTGGAGCGGAGTCAAGACGGTGGGGAGGCCTAGAGGGCCAGGAGCCCCGAGTCTTTGGCGTCTCCCCTTCTCTCCTCAGCCGCATGTGGGCCAAGGGGTCTGCAGGATCGCGCGGAAGAGGGTGGTGGGGGCAGGGGCTGCGCGGACATTCATCAGCAGAGCTTGCGATGGGGCAGGCATGAAGGAGCCTCCCTGCGCTCCTGTCCCTGACCAGTCCCGCTCTCTCCCACTCCTCCAAGGACAGGGGGCACTCCCAATTCCCCAGCGGCCGCCACTGAGCATCCTCCCTCCGCATGGGCCATCGGGAAGGCTCTCTGGAGGAGGAAGGCCTTTAGGGGTGACAGGTGGGCGTGGTGAGGCTGGCGTGCGCTGAGCTGGATCACAGGGCACCATCGCCAGCCCTGGGTCCGTGTGGGGTGCACTGGGGGCACAGGAGGTGGCTCCCACCTCCTCCGTATCCCCCTCATCTCCTCCTCTCGCCACGGGGACAGGGAACTGCTTCTATGTCAGCATGCCGGCGGGACCCCCAGACTCCAGCACTGAACCCTCGCAGCCCGACAGCCTCCCTGCCTGGCAGCCTTGGGGAAGCAGTGGAGGTCGCCGACGCCCTAGCCACTCTGTGCCCAGCCTGGCCCTCAGGGACGTGGGCAGCATCTTCCACACCATCGAGCAGCTCACCGTCAAGCTCAACAGGCTCAAGGTGGGCCCAGCGTGGCGGGGGCGTGGTGGGGTGCTCAGTCCCTGTCCCAAGACCCATCGCCTTGAGGGAGAGGTGTCCTCCGGCCTGGGTCCTCCCCACAGCCGCCCAGGAGCACAGAGCCACCCAGGGGCATGGCGAGGGAGCGGCGGCCGGGCCCCTTCCCGAGGGCCCTGCCTCCCAGGACCAAGGTCAGACGTCCCCTGCTACCCTCCCAGGACGTGGAGCTGGCCCACCGAGAGCTGCTCAGGTCCCTCGCGGGAGAGTCCGGCGGCACCACGCCCGTGGGCAGTTTCCACACGGAGGCAGCCAGATGGACAGACAGCTCCCTGTCACCTCCAGCCAGGGAAACCCTGGCCTCCAACTCCAGGGACAGCCACCAGCCAGGGCCGTGCTCGGAGGATGGTGAGCGAGGCGATGTCCTCTGGGTACCTGTGGGGGATGGACGGGGGTCCTCCTCCTCCCTGAGTACAGTGAATTCATCCCCTCAGCTTCAGAAAGGGATCTGCAGGGAACCCCCACAGGAGCTCGCCTAAAAACTGGAAACCCTCTTTGGATTAGAGAGAGAAGGGACCAGGGAGCAGGTCTCCCCCCTGAAACCTCTTAGAGGGCGGGCCGGGACACCGCTGCCCATGGGCTCAGGGTGGACAGGAGTGCGGGGCTGCAGACAGCCCTTTCCAGGCCGCAGGAGAAACCCTGTGCCTTGTTCCAGATGGACGCACCGGGGCGGGTGGGGGTTGTCCCCACACCACCAGGCCAGCTCCTCAGCTGTCCTCCCCACCTCCTCCACAGGCTCCGACACCCCCCTGGAAGACGGTACAGCACTCACAGCCTCGTCCCCAGGACTGTAACTGTCCCCACTCCTCTGGGGGCTGGCCCGAAAGGGGCACAGGGCAATGGGAGCCCAGACCTCCTCGTGGGCCCGCGGAAGATGGGTCCAGCCGAGACCCCGGGGGCGCCCCGCATGTCACTTGGTCTGCTCAGGTCCCAGTCCAGTTTCAGCGTCTCCCCTGCTCTCCAACTCCTCCGAAGGCCTCTCTGGAGAGTGCTGAGTGCATCTGAAAGGCCCCCCACACACAGGTGAAAGGAGGGGTCTCTGTGAATGCACTTTCTTCCTCCCTCCCTCTCCCCGCAGGACCCCAGGGCTGAGGCGGGCTCCCTCTGCCTCTCCCCTCGTCGTCACTTTGGTTTCCTATAAATATGTACGTACTGTCTGTGCATCTCACTCTGTAAATAACTTTGACCCATTTTATTTGTGTTCCTGGGGGCCCGGAGGCAGGCCCAGAGGGCACAGCTCGCATCTCCTAGTCAACAGGCCTCCAGGGTCAGGGCGCAAAGGGGGAGCCAGACCTGAGCACCAGGTCCTCCGTGGGCAGGAAGGTGTCCCCGCCCACCAGGCTTGAGAGCCCAGTCCCTGTGGCCTGAGCCGAGAGCTTCGCTCCCCTCCCAGGACAGTCCTCTTCGGGGGAGTTCATGACCCCACCTGTGTCCACCGTTCGCCACGCTCTCCCTAGGGAAAACCAGTGTATCAGGTGCGGCCCCGAAAACCGGGCCCAGGAGGTGGGGCAGGGGGTTCGAATGCTGGAGTCCCCGCATTAACCCGGGCCCATCCCCGGGGCCGTGGTGGCATCGGCCCCTGTCCCCATGCTAGCCCCCTCCTCACGGCCTGGTAGGATATACACACTGTGCTAGGTGTATATATACGTATATATATAAATATATATATATAATATATAAAATATAGAGATGGAAATGACTGTTTTCCTGTTAAAATAATGTATACTCTTTTATTTTCTTTCTCTCATGGTTAAGTTTTTGTTTGTTTTTTTTTTAAGAAAAGTTAAATATTCTTCAATCGCGGTGGTGTGTGTGTGATTTCTGGAACTGCTCGGATAAAAGATACTGTGGTTCTTAGGATTGGGGGGAAGACACAGGAGGCAGCCCCCACGCCCGGCTTCAAGCCCCCAGGCCCCACCGTGGCCGGAGACTCCAGGCCCAGAGCTTCCGACGTGACGTGCGCTCACCGAGCCACCATCGGGCAGACCACGTTCCACAGCCCCATGGCCCAAGCAGGGAGAGCCAGAGCCCACGCCATCGAAACACACACCGGCAATGGGTGCAGAGCCGGGAGACCCCGGCAGCCGCCCTCCACGAGCCCCAAGACTTTAAGGCAAAATGCGGGGCAGGGGGAGGCCGTGTCCAAGGCCTGGCCAGTCCTCGCTGGCCTCAGCCTCTGCTCTGTCCCCCCGCTCTGACGGGACCCAGAAGCCACGTTTTCCCCAGACCTCTGGCCCTTCTGCCTTCACTGACAGACCGAGGGCCAGATTCCCTTCCAGCTCTGCCTTGCGCTCCCTCCCAGACCTAGCACAAGCCATCTGCCGACCCCACGGGCTTCAGATCCAGGGGGACATCCGGCACTCCCCGAAGGAGCCCTGCTGTGTGCTTGGGAAGGGGGGGAGACACTCAAGCTGGAGCTCAGCGGCCGGGTACCCAGACACGCAGAGAGGCCCGTGAGAGCCGCAGAGCCTCACCAGCCTCGCAGAGCAGGCGTGGGGGCAAGGCGAGCGCGTCTCTGTGGGCTGAGGGTTAGGTCAGGTTCCATCTGCCTGGCTCCCTGGGCCTCATCCACAGGTGATCTCGGAGGGGGGGGGGGGCAGCTCTCCACGATCCTCTGGCCCGCCCACTGGGGCGTCCCTGGCTCCGGGCGGCCATCGCCTGCGGCCAATGCGCCAGGCTTTGTGGGCTTCAAGGTGCTTGGCCTTTGCCACGTCGATGCACAGACTTAACACCCTCTCCAGAGTAGCCTTCCGGTTCTTCGTGTCCCTAGCTGAGTCCTTGTCTCCAAAGTGACCGGGCACCTGAGCCGACGGGGAAACGCAGAAGAGGAGGGGCCTGCGGTGGCGGAGCCCGAGCCCTCCCCGTGCCCCTTCACCGGGCCTATGCCAGCGGTGACAGTCCCAGGTCATCCCACCGCGTCCTCTGAGACCAGAGGCTGAATGCGGGTCCTGGCGCGTCCCGTGTCCTGCAGGGAACACAGGCAAAGAGCAAGCAAGAAGCAGGCCCGAGGAGGCAGGAGAGTGTGGCCCTGGTCACCCGAGCCTAAGTGCCCAATCTCATCCCAGGAGAGCTGCAAAGCCCTTCGGCCATTTCAGACTCGGAGTCCAAACCTTCCGTGTAGTTCTGGAACAAAGTTTTCAGACAACAGCAGTGGGGAAAAGACAGCAATCACGGTTTGTTAATGACTGGAGATCTCCGCCAGGGAAGCCAGGCCACCAGCGCTGGGCAGCCCCGCTTGTCAGAGGGAGATGGGGGAGGGGCTAGGTGGAGGACGCCGAGGGCTCCTCCTCTCTGGCCTTGGCCTTGCTGATGGGGTCCCTGGGCAGCATCAGCTCCTGGATCATGGTGTACGTGGGACATTGTGGGGAGAAGTAATTTTTCTGAAGGAGGGAAAGGAAGGTGACATGACAAAGGGATAATACCACTTCTCTGGGAGGAGACAGTTTCCCAGGTCGGGGCAGAGGGATGGGCAGGAACGGGGGACTCACCGCCAGCGACAAGCACAGCAGCCCCACAGGGCCCTTGGCTGCGCTCTTGGACTTGGAGAACTGGGCCTGGTGCTGCACGGTGGCCAAGAAGCCCTCCAGCCCCACCTCGGTGATGCGGTTTCCTGGTGGGGGGAGCGGCCCAGGTGGCCCCCCCGCCCCTGCCCCTCACCCCTCTGACGCCCCTCTGGCCTTCCTGCCTTGAGCTCCCACCCACGTCTCTCTCCCGACACTAACTGCCAGAAGCAGGGCCTGTCCTGCTCTCACCCCGAGCGCCGTGTGAGGTGGCTCTGCTCCACCGAGTCGGGGCTGCCCCCCCCCACCTGCTGCATGGGACCCAGGTGGCCGCAGGGGGAGGACGGCAGGGGCGCTCACGCACGGGTGAGGTTGAGGTGCAGAAGGACCTTGTTCCCAGGCATGAACACTTTCCCCTCTCGGTGCTCCACGGGCTCCAGGAGAGGGTTAACCACCTCTGAAGGCTCCGAGACCAGCTGCTGAAGCAGGAGGACCCCTGCAGCTGACCCGAGGGGCTCAGCCCACGGGCCGCGCTCTCTGTCCTCCGTGCTGGGGGTACAGAGATAAGCCTGCACCCCCAGAAGCAACCCTGGAACGTGAGCCGGGAGCCAGGGCGGCCCCATCCCACCCCCACACACACAAGCCAGAATCTGTGGGGCCCAGAGGAGGCTCCCAGCCCAGAGCAGCTCCCGGGGCAGGTCCCCGGGACCACAGCGGAGGAGGTGGAGGACAAAGGCAGAGGAACTGGCCAGAGCAAGAGCCGAAGCGTCGTGTGGCACTGGGGTCTCCCTGCGCACCCGCGGCAGCGATGAAGGCCGAGCCTGGGAGAGAGGGGGCGCCCCCAGAGCGGCCCGCGGCGGCGGCGGCGGCGGCGGCCGGGGCAAGATGGGCGGGGCAAGGTTCCGGAGGGCGGGGCAGGGGCGGGGCCTGGCTGGCTCGCGCGCAGGAGCGGAGCCGCCGCTTCTGATGTCCAAGCCCCACGTTGGGCAGAGAAATTAATGACAAAAAAATTTTGTAACGCAGCCCCAGCCCCTCTCCACCTGACCTTCCTCTCTGGTAGGATCCTGTCTTGATGGCAGACAAGACTCCCAAGAGAGGCCCTTCCCTGCCTATGCGGGAGACAGAAGGGGAGGACACAGACCCTGGGGCAGCTGAGGGCGGGGGCGGGGGCGGCAGTCGGGAAGGCTCCAGAGTGAGGTGTCAGACCTGTCCGAGGTGAAAGGGGGAAAGAAGGCTCCAGTAGCAGAAGAGGGGGTCTCCAGGAGCCGTGCACGGGTTGGGCTGCAGGGGGACGTAAGACGCCTTCCTGGGGGGCTGCGACGCGGGCGAGGAGGACGGGGAGGGGAACCCAGCCGAGGAGAGCTGGGAGTGGCTGGCCGCGCCAGGGCCAGGGAGAGTTGACATAACAGGGAAAGGTTGACGGGAAAGGAGACCCCTGAGCTCCTGCCCAACCCCCAGGCAGCCTGGCGGGGACGGGGGTTGGGGGGGGCACGCGAGGACGGTAGGACAAGAGTGGTAGCCGGAGAGACCCTCCAGGAGGGGCTGGCGACACGCACTTGAGGGAGGTCACTGCTGCCCACCATGGCCCCCCTCCCCGCGCCCACCCTCCTCCCTGCCTCCCCGCATCCACCCAGTTCCCCCCACCCCACGCCCAGGCCCTGGTGCCCACCCGGCTCCCTGAGCTCACCCCACATCCACCCGACTTCCTGCGCCCACCACGACCCCAGCGCTCACCCCGCCCCCCACCCCCGCTCACGCGCGCCCACCCCCACCCCGCAGCCTACCTCGGACTCCAGCAGGAAGCTGCGCTTCTCCTTGTTTCCGATCTTGGGCCCCTTCCCCTTGTTGGGCTTCTGCTCCGGGATGGTGACCTCTGGAGTGAGGAGAGGGGCCAGAATGCACCGCGTAGATGGTGCCACACTGCCCGGTGGCCGCAGAGGGCACGGGCTGGACCAGGAGATTCGCCCTCAAACCTTGGGACGGGGTGCCAGGGGAACAGAACCCGGTGGGCGGGTCCCTTTCCTCAGGCCAGTGCCACGGGGGTCCAGGCAGGGGACATGGGGTGCGCAGTGTCCGGGGCAGAATGGGGGGCTCACCCACAGGAGGAAACCCAGAGACCGTGGGCCCCAGGAGGACCAGCAGGCACTCAGGAGCCCGTGCTGTCCCCCCACAGCTAGGAGGGGCCGCTGATGGGCAGCCCCACTTACTCCCCTTACTTACTCCCCTTGGAGGCCTTGGTGTCTTCTTTCTTGAGGGTCCCCTGTGTGGGTGACTGCCCTGACCCCGGCTTCTCCTCTCTCTTCGCCCCGTCCTGTGCAGCGCAAGGAGAGAGCTGAAGGCCCGGCTTGCTGGGGTTGTCCCCAGGCCCTCCTCCCTGCAACCCGGGTGCGCTGCGTGGCGGGCCTTGGCTCGCGGCACACCCACCCCTGATTTATCCTTTTTCTTGCCCAGGCCTTTCAGGGTCTTCGTGGTGGGCGTCTTGTCTGGCTTCTCTGACAGGGCAACATTGCTGACGCCCGTGAAGGGGTTCTTCTCGCCTTTGGAGTCCCCGTGTCGGGAGGAGGAAGGCTGTGCTCACAGAAGGGAGGGGATGAGCCGGCACCCCCTCCTCAGGGAGAGGTGAGGGGATCCCCATGCCGGACTGACAGCACCCCCACCCCACCTCCCTGCCTAAACGCTGACATTGCTGCTGGGGACGCTGGGCTGGGGGCCCAGACTCGCTCGCTGGGAGGGAAACCCCGGGCACTTCCACTGCTCCTCTCCACCGCCCAGGATGCAGCCGTTCCACTGGTGGGCAAACAGCTCCAGCTCTGGGGCTGGGACCAGGGCTGGGACCGGGCTGCTCCGGGGCCGGGACTGGGCTGCCTCGGGCTCTAACTCTAGCCATCCCCTTGGCCCACATGCTGCTGGCCGCGGCTTGGTAGGAGACAGAGGGCAGACGCCCACTAGGCCTGTGCCAAGAGGCGGCGACGGGCCAGGCCCAGGAGAGGCCGGCTTAGGACGTGCCAGGGGGCCGCAGGGCTCACCGATCTCGAGCGCTCCTGAGACCCCTTTTCCAGCAGGAGGCGGCGGCGCTCCACCACCTCCGTGTGTGTCAGCTCGAAGGGGCGCAGGACCTGAGGCAAGTGGCCACTCAGACGCCAGCCACCAGCCGGGGACAGCCCCCACAACTCCTCCACCCCCCCACCGCACCCACCTCGGCCAGCTTCAGGGCGCCCTGGTCCTGGATACGGTTGTGTGCCAGGGACAGCCAGAGCAGGGCGCGATTCAACCTGAGGCCCTGGGGCGGGGGGTGGGGAGAAGTACATGTGAACCCGCTGCCCGCTGCCCCACTCCTGGTCCCCGGATCCCAGCTCCCCAGCTCCCAGCTCCCAGGTCCCGCCAGACACGCACATCGGCGATGTAGCCAGCGCCTGCATCCCCGATGTGGTTGAAGCCCAGGTTGAGCGAGACCAGGGAGCGGTTGCAGCTGTGCAGTGTGGACAGAGCTTGGCCCAGCAGCTGTGCGCCGTGGTCATCGATGTCGTTGTTCCGCAGGGACAAATGGGAGACGCTGCCGTGGGGTGGGGGGAGGGATTCGCTAGGAACATGGGGTCGGGGCTCGCCTCTCCAGGGGATCTGACCTCTGAGGGTGAAGGGGCAGGAATCGTGGATCCGCGGGCAGGTGGGGGAGCGCAGGGAAGGGGAGACTAGGACTACCTGGCCTGGGGAAGAGGCCCAGAGACGGGGGAGAGAAAAAACAGTCTCACATGCTGTCCAGCGCCATGAGCTTGTGATAGGACTGCTCGGGCAGTGGGTTGCCCTCCAGAGACACCTTCCTAAGGACAGGGAAGGTCTGAGAACCAGGAGGCACCCCTGAGGCCCGGGAGGGATGGGGTCAGAGAGGAGGTGTGGGTCTCCGGGACGCAGCTGGGAAACAGACTCAAAGGATGGCCTTCCAACAGAGAAAATTATACAGGACAGAAGGGTGGCCGTGCCAGGGGGGTCACTCTGCAGCGATAGTGGCCCATGGTGACTTGGCCTCTGGGAGGATTCCTGTGACCACCACGTGTGCCCCACCAGATGGTGGCTGGACCTGGTGACTCACTTCTGACCAAATGGGATATGACAAAAGTGGTGAGATGTCACTTCTAAGTTCAAGTTCCAAAAAGACTGTGGCCTCCACGTTAGGGGCTCCGTGGCCGGCGCGGGGCTGTCCCTGCAAGGAGGCCTTGTGCTTCGAGCACCGGCCACACGTGGAGCTCGGAAGCCAGGGGACAGCAGCCCACGCTCCAGCGACAGCTCCATCCACCCCCACCCACCTACCCGCCCCACGGAGAGATTTGTGAGTCAGGAATAGGGAACCACCGGACCACCACTAGCAGTGCCCCCTCCCACGGTGCCCAGGGATGGGAGGGGGACAGAGGACCTTTCCCAAGTCACAACAAAAGTTGGACTAATGGCATGAAGTTTCTCTACTTAAATATATTCTCCCATGGGGCGCCTGGGTGGCTCAGTGGGTTAAAGCCTCTGCCTTCAGCTCAGGTCATGATCTCAGGGACCTGGGATCGAGCACCACATCAGGCTCTCTGCTCAGCAGGGAGCCTGCTTCCCCAACTCTCTGCCTGCCTCTCTGTTTACTTGTGATCTCTGTCTGTCAAATAAATAAATAAATTAATTAATTAATTAAAATAAACTCTCCCACAATTTAGTATCACTTTCAGCCTTTGGGGCTGGCTCATCTTTCACCTAAGGCTGATTACACTCATTTTAAGTGATTTGATTATGTTCATCTTATTTTGTATCTTACAACGAATGCTACCGTTTTGTTTCTGCTGGCTGATTTGTTTCTAATTGCCACAATGGACACAAGTCATGTTCCGTGGTGTTCTCTGTGAAAAGTGTTGAGGACCTCCAGCTGCAGAGGACGCTGTCCCTGCCCTGCAGAGGACGCTGTCCCTGCCCTGCAGACAGCCCATCCCACGGGGCGGGGCAGAGGGGGCGGTGGGTGAGGCCCCGAGCCAGTGTGAGGCCCTGGGGTTTGTTCCCCGAAGCAGGGTAAGTCCCGGCTGCTGGGGGAGCCTCGGGAAGGGGCGCCCAAACCAGCTTTGCCAAGGGCACCTGTAACTACACCGCCTTACAGCTCACACCTGCTCCTCTTCCTCTTCACAGCTTTGCTCAGCACCGCCTCCTCCAGGCAGACTTCCTGTCTCCCCGTCCTACACCCGTGCAATGGGGTGACTGCGCCTTACCTGCCCCCACTCCAGTGGTAGGCCCCAGGCCCCAGGCAGGAGGGAAAAGCTCCAGGAAGAGAGTGGATGGTGGTGGGAGGTGGGGGGGAGAGGGAGGGAGGCGAGGAGGGACGGGGCCCAGAGGCCAGCCTCTCCAGGCCCTGGTGCCGCAGAAACGGGACCCGCTTCTTCTGGTCAGACTGGAGCTTCAAAAATCAACACAGCCCTGGGCGGGGATGCCGCTCTCCTCCCCAAACTGCCCACCCTGCCGGGGCCCTCGCACCCCCTCTCCTCTCGCAGACCTGAGCGTGGATGCGCAGAGAGGCAGGAGAGCGATGAAGGTGGTCAGGGTCTTATCGGTCAGGCCCACCTTCCACAAGCTGGATTGGGGCGGCGGTACAGAAACCCAGCTGGAGCCTCGCCTCCTCCTCCCCAGGCCCCTCCGGCCACCCCCTCCCTTGCGCCCCTCCTCCCACAGCCCCCGGGGCTTCTTTCTCCCAAGCCACGGAGGCAGCGGCCCCACACTGGCCTCCCGCCCTCCCCAGCCCCGCGTCCCCTCACTGGATGGCCTGCAGCTGGCTGAGCGGAGGCAGACACGTAGAGAAGATTCCCAAGATCCGCTCCTCGACCTTCCAGCCTGCGGACGGGGCAGGGGGAGGCGCCTCAGCCGGGGACCCGGCCCGCGGCGGGGGCGGGGGTGCGGGGCTCACCGCGGATGAAGACCTCCTTCACCGACTTGTCCTCGGGCTCCAGCTCCACCTGCACCGTGGGCCGGAAGAACACGTACTTGCTCTCCAGACTGTTGAGGCTGCAAGACCCCGACAGGCGCTGATCGTCTGCAAGGCCGGGTGCGAGGGGCCCGGGTGAGGAGGGAGGAAGCAGAGCCGCACGGACGTACCGCTCAAGTGGGGTGGGGGGGTCCGGCCTGGGGCGCAGCGCCTTGGGCCCGCACGCGGCGTGGGCCGGGGTTGGGGAAGGAAGCCGGGAGACTCGCCCAGCCGCATCCCCGCCGCGTCGGACCCTCCCCGCACGGCCGCACTCGCTGCCCTGCACCCCCGCCGTTCGGCCCGCCCGGCGCTGCGAGGCTGGCTTGCACCGGGCGACCCCGGCAGACACCCCCGGGGCTCCCCGGGCACTCACCTAAGGCGGGCTTTTCCGACATCGAGGCCGAGGGGACGAAGGCCGGGTGCGGGCGAGGCCGGGGGACAACTTTGGGGAAGTCGGTGTAGCCCGAGCGCGTGCAGAGCTCCGCGAAATCCGTCTCGAGGACCCCGGTGCACTGGTACTCCTCTGCGGGGCGGCGGGGGGACGGCGGCTGTGGCCCGGGGTCGCCACCGGGGGGCAGCAGAGGGCAGCGGGGGTCCTGGGGGTCCCCGGCCCGCCGGGGGTGCGGGAGTAGGGGGTCGGGGAGCGCGGAACAGCTGGGGCCCCTCCTCAGGAGAACGTCTTCACAACCATTTTCTAAACGTAAGATGCGTTGTAGAAACCCGCAGAGCAAACAGCGCGGAATCCAGACGCCGGAGAAGGGGCCAGAAGGGCGCGGGCTACACACAACCGGGGCGCCCAGCCTCCGTGCGGCACCTCCAGCCAGCCGCCGGTCAAGGTCGCTTCCCCTCCGCCGCCCGCGGGCCGGGGGGGCCTCCGCCTCCCGCGGGGTATCCCGCGCAGCCTCCTCCTCCGTTCCCTGGGACGGCCCAGGACCACGAGGGGAAAGAAGCCCAGGCCCGCTGCGAGCAAAGGCAGGAGCCCAGGAGCCCCTCTGCAGACCCAGCCCGCCCGCCCCGCACCGACGCGGAGCGCCCGCAGAGCCTCCGGCGTGCGTTAGTCCCACAGAGGCGTACAGGGCGCCACACCCGCCCGCACTCTTCTAGATGCGCTGGGAACGTCGGTTCTCTCCAGAGCTCCATCAGCGCGGACAGGGCCCAGCGCGTCCCCTCCGGAGGGCGGTGCTGACCCCAGGCAGTCCCCAGAGGCCCCTGCTCTTTCCTGCCTCCCCATGGGCATCCCAGGAAGAAGTGATTCCCGGAGCCGGGAAGGGGTGTCCCTGGCACGTGGGCGAACCGGGAGGCAGAAGGGTTGGCCCCGCGCCAGCCTGCTCTCCCAAGGGCGCGGCAGCCTGGAGCCCCCACGCACCATCACTCCCACCTGGCGGCCTGCGGGGGTTGCAAGCCCAGCCGGTGGACAAGGACTGCTAACAGCAGGAAACCTGCCCGCAGGCAGGAGATGGTTTGGGAGCACAGGGGCTCCGCGTTCACGGGGACAAGAGAGGGTGGACGGTTCTTGTGGCAAAGGAGGGCGAAGCACAGGCACGTTCCTCCCGCGCCCAGCCATCGGGAGAGCACGATACACAAGACACGGGAGCTCCCTGGGCAGAGCCGCTGAGAGGAGGCTCAGGGGTCCCCGGGGTAACCCCCTTGCACAGCGGTCGCCCGCACACCACCTGCCTGCGGGAGCTGTTCCCCCTGCCAGGGGAGCCCCTCGACCCTTCCTGCTTCACCCACACCACCTTTCTCTACAACAGACCTTCTCGAACTCGAGCAGCAGTTTGTCAAAAGAGTTTTCTGCCCCGCCCTCGCCCCGCAGGGCCCGTGACTCCGCTGGCCCAGGGGAGTCCGGGAAAGTGCATTTCTAACAACTTCGTGGCTGGTGCCAAAGCTACTGGTCCCAGGACAGCGCCCTGAGAGCCGCCGCCCTGCCCTAGGAGCCCGCTGCCGCTGGGACGTCGCGGGGGCAGTGCTCGCTTCCGCAGCAAATGTGCTGAACTTGGCGGGACGCGGAGATGCTCTGCGTCTGCCTGGAGCCCGCGGTTACCTGGGGGACAGCGCCGCCCCGACAGGGCCTTGCTCTTGCTCCCTCTCTCACACACTCCCACCTGGCTCTCACTACAGAACTCGCCTTTGCACCTGGAGAAGCAGAAGCCAGCAGACGGCGTTTCCTCTAACCCTTCCTACTGCTGCCATCACCCTAGCTGAGGCGCCAGCCCAGAGCCCTGCTTCTGCCCTGTGCAGCACACAGGACCCTCTGACCGCCATGTGTTCCCGTCCAGCATCCCTGGGCAGCAGCCACCTGCATTCTCTCCCCGCCGGTGGCTGGGCCAGTCAGACTTCCCTGCCTGCTGCACTCCCCTAACAGCTCTGGGCTGGGTCCTGCGTGCTCTGTTCTTCCCTCCTGCCCCCGGGAATCTCTCTCCTTCCCAGGCTGACCGGGACCTAAGCAGCTCCCAAAGTCACACCTCCAGCCCTGCGCTCTCTTGAGTGCTCCAGACGTGTCCAGCTGACAGCCCGCCGAGGCCTTCGCTCACATGCCCTCCCTCCAGGCTTTCCTGGCTGCGTGAATGGCCCCTCAGCCCACCTCCTGGCACCTGGGAGTCCTTCTCCTCGCACCCCAGCCAAGACTACCAACGCGTTACCAGGAAGCCTAACCCGTTCTCCCTCACTGCTCTAGTCCGGCTACCACTGTGCTCCAGCCGGACTGTTGAAACACCTCTTTCTCCGCCTCCCTGCCTCATTCTCTACCCCCTCCACGCCATTGTCCATACAGAGCGGTGTGGGGGGGACTGGCCCCTGACCAAGGTCTGACGATCACAGCCTTTTCCTGTGTCAGTTTCCCATGAGTCCAGGGACAGCAAGCCCCTGTCCCCTTTCAAAGTGGTTGGATCTGAAGCCAGAGGCCTTCCAAGAGGGGCTCCTGGCTGGCTCAGTTGATAGAGCATGTCTCTTGATCTCAGGGTCATGAGTTCAAGTCCCATGTTGGGTGTGGAGCTTACCTAAAAAAAAAAATTCCCATAAATTCCCCTTCATGTATCATCGGTTTGGGTTGGGGTTCCAAGGGACAGAAGCATAGGCTTACTTGTACGCGGCCTGTGGTTTTCTTTTCCCAGAAAATGTAAGTGGATTATGTGTGTATTGTTCTCTCCCTACCCAAAAAGTGATTGTTGAATGAGTGCGTGAACAAAACTCCAAGTCCCCTCCTGGTGGGTTCCCCGGCCTCCCTGCCCTCCTTCCACCCCCTGCCCCGGGGACCTCCTGTCCCTCCCTGGGCCCTCTTCGCTCGTGCATCTTGGCACATCTTATCACATTTGTCAGTCCCAAACCACAGTGTGGGTTTTCTAAGATCGAGTTCAAGTCAAACATCGGCCAAGCTGAGTTCCAAGAGCGGGGCTGGAAGTGCTGTGATTTCTAAGGAGAGAGCCCAAGGCTACGCTGCCAATAGCCATTAGTACACAGAGCGCCCCGCCGTGTGCACCTGCTGAGGGCGTAGTGCACCTGCTGAGCACAGAGCTGCTTAGCCTCAGAGACGCCACGATTGTCCCCCGGCTCGGCTGTCGCGCGCACCAGGGCGTCGTTCCGCACGACCCGTGCAGCGCGCCCGGCACGACGACGGCGCCCACCCGCCCTGGCAAAGCCGAGCGCGCGAGGAGCCCGGCCGCCCGCCTACCAGGGTTCTTGGGCTCCTCCTCGCCCACCGGCTGCAGGACGGTGACCGGCTTCTCCTTGGCCGCGCGATCCCCCTTCTTGGTCACCGCGCCGGACGACTTCTGTGTCCCGGGACGCGGGGCCCGAGGGGAGACCCCGGGCGCACTCGCCTCCCCCGACATGCCGGCGCGGTCCGCAGCGACTCTGGAGCGGCCCGGCGGGCGAGGAGGCCAGACAGGACTCGGTGGGGCCGGCCCAGGGGACGGTCGAACCGGGGGTCTCTACTCCGCGGCCAGCGCCCTCCCCGCCACCTGCGGCGCCGCCTCCGCGTCCCTCTCCACGACAACCGTGCGCGGCGGGCGGGCGGGTGGGAGCAACCGCAGAGCGCGCGGGGCCACCCGGGGGCGCCGCAGAGCCACGGCCGGGGGCGGGGAGCCTGGGGGCGGAGCCACAGCCCGGGGGCGGGGCGAGAGAGCGCGGGGGCGCCGCAGAGCCACCGCCCGCGGCGAGGCCACAGGCGGGGCGGGGCGGGGAAGCCCGGGGCGTAGCAGAGCCGCGGCCGGGGGCGGAGTCACAGGTGGGGGCGGGGTCACGGTCGGGAGCGGAGCCACAGCCCGGGGCGGATGCTAGGGGTGGAGCCACGGCCGGGGCGGAGCAACCGGGGGCGGGGCCCCGGAGCGAGCGCGAGGGAGGAGCGGGGTCGCGAGCGCTCCGAGTCCACGCGGCCGGCGGCGCCCTGGAAGGCCGCGAGCATGTGAGGGACGCGGCAGTCGGAGGGAACTGGGCAGAAGAGTCGGTGGGGACAGATCCACTTCCGGGGCGCGGTAAGGAGAGGGTCCTCGTGGGAAAGGCGCGGCGCTGGGTTTCCATCCTCGACCCGTCTAGTTAGCCTCTGGGAAGCGTGGGCAGTTAGTAGATCCGGATTCGGTGTCCGCAGGTAGTGTAGACCCTGCCTGTTCCACGGCGGCGGGCCCCCATTTGAGCGGCCCCTCTCCCGCCTGCCTTCCCCCCCCCCCGCAGCCTCCGCAGGGCTGTGCGCCCCCAGGGACACTCCCAGCGCCGGCCCGCCTTTGCGCCGTCGTGCCGCTGCCCTGCGGACAGGCCGCTCCTCGGAAGCCGGGCCTCCCACGGCCTGTGAGCTCCCAGCCCGCTGCTGGCCCGCACCTGAGCACCTACGAGCCCTCATCCCTGGTACTTTCCGCTCACTCAGCCTCTCCGCCTTTGGGGGAACATTTATTAAGTATCTACTGTGTGCCAAGGGGAACCAATGTTGGGCACAATACATGATTCCTGCCTTCAAGGAACCCACCGCTTGGTGGGGAAGGCAGAGATGAATCAAACGATCCGGTAAAGAAACCACACGTCCCAGAGAGAGCTGGTACTGAAGGCCTTCTCCAGGCGCCGGGGAAGGCGCACAGCTGTAGCCCGCGCAGTGCGAGAGAGGCTCTTCCGTAGGACAGTATGTGAAGGAGCAGCAGTGAACAGGTGAGAGTGGAAGAGAAGAGGACGGATGTGCAAAGTCCCTGTGGTAGGAAGAAGTGTGGCTCGTAGGACCTGGGGCCCAGGGTGACGGGAACAGAGTGACTGTGAACACAGTTCCAGGTGAGGCTGAAGAGACCGCCAGGCCAGCAAAGCCCTAAGGCCTTGGACAGTTCTGACTCGTCCGAGAGCCATGGGGCACCCACAGAGATGTTCCGACAGAGGTCACCTCACTGCCTGGTGTTTTGAGCAGTTGCTTGGAGCAGGTACCCAGTGCATGCAGGCAGGACAGTCAGGCTGTTGCTAGAGTTGACTGGTTCGGGCTGCCTCTCGACTACACAGGACAGGCTGTGTGCCTAGAACCCTCTGAAGCCACACACACACACACACACAGCCCAGCCTGGGAGTGCACAGGAAAGGAACCCCATATACATTTTCAACATTAATCTGCAATCGAACTTCTAGCAACATTGATCCCACCTGTTTACGCAACAAGCCCCAGGGCCTTGGGGAGCCACAGGTTGGAGCACAGACGACAGGGAATGTGGGCTTTCTGCTGACCAGGGTCCCCCAGGCTGGAAGCTGGGAGCCAGGCCCTGTCCCCTCCACGTTCACTTCCTCTAGCAAACGTCAAGTTCCCGGTCTGTCGGTCCTCTCCCTGCTCCTGGCAGGGTACATACAGCAGGCTCTGTCCCCAACCTCGGGCAGCAAAGAGCAGGTGTGTGGGTCCCTACATGCCACCGTGACTCCTCAGCGGTCCTGGCGCCGGAGCGGGGGTGATGGGGGCTGCCGAACTGGAGGCAAGTCATAATGCCCGGGGATGTGGCTGTTCTTCGGTGAGTCGTAGTGGCCAGGGGGCAGGCCCGGAGGCAGTGGGGGCTGGGAGCCCACAGAGTCTCGGTCTGGGGACAGAGAGGGGACAGGATGGGAGATGGCTTCTCCCTCCTCACCCCTCTCCTCCCACTGCCAGCCAGGGACGCCACCCTGACCTCACAGGGTGAGGACCCTTTGTCACCAACCTCATTCCCCTCTTTCCTGGGTACCAACTGCTCAAGTCAGGTGCTGTTGGACCATTTCAAACCCTCAGCCCTGTGTAGCAGGGACACCGCTCACGGGCTCTGGGAGGCCAGCTGATGTCCCAAACCTCGTGCCTGGTGCGAGCCCAGGTCGGAGCCCAGAGCCCAAGCTCTTGCTGCCACACTGTGTTGCCACTGCTCTCTCTCCCTCTAACCCTTCCCTCCCCGTCCCTTTCTTGGCCACCACCAGCGCCCCCTGCCCCAACGGAGAAAGGGGGGCTCACCATAGGTCAGAGGGCTGGGCTCTTCGTAGGTGCCACTATCTCTCTGTGGCTGGGGGTGTCGCCGGCCCTGGCTGTCCCAGACCTGAGCTGGCTGCCTGGGGGGGGACCCTGCGGGAGGGCCTTTCATCTCCACATAGCTGCTCTCCCGGGGGCTCCCTAGGAGGCTGGGCAGGTCCCGGATGGTGGCATAGGGGTTCTCACTACTCAGGGAAGCCACGCTGGCCCTCAGCCCCTCTTCAGAGATGGGCCCTAAGGGGAGAGGAAGGAAGTCGGGCTCCGTGGGGGCCCGGGCTCCTAGCCCCCAGCTCAGCCTGCCCCCTCGCCCCTGCGCCCACGCCTTTGCCAGAGAACAGGCCTGGGCCACCACGGCTGCTGGAGCTGGGACTAGAGCTTCGGTGCAGCTACCGGAGGGGCAGGAAGAGGAGGGGACTGTGAGCGCACAGGCACCCCCCTCCTCTGGAACTGCCCCGATGAGCCCCGGCTCTGACTCGCCCACCCCCGCCTCGGCCTCCAGGCTCCTACCCCGCTCCAGAGGCCCCGGCGGGGGCTCGCGGCGGTGCTTCCAGTCCGCGGGTAGGGTGCTGTGGTTATCCAGCCCCTGGAAGCCGGCGAACGGCTGACTGCCGGGAACCTAAGGCGGGGAGGGCCGTGAAGTAGGGAGCCGAGCAGGCCAGGATGGAGCTTTCCAGAGACCCGGGTCTGGGCCCTCCCCTCAACAGCGCCCCCGCCCCCCCAGCACTGACCTTGTTGGCAGGCGGGGTGTTGGGGGAGCACTGTGACAGGGTGTGGTAGCTGGGGTTGGAGTAGTAGTGGCTGTAGCTCGGGGGGACATCTGCACAAACAGACATAGGCGTGTGGTGACCCGGCCGGTCCGAGAGAGGCCCCAGGCCCGGGAGAGCAGCACGGTCAGCAGCAGGTCAGCGGCCGGCCTCTCTGACCCCTCCTCTCCCCTCTGACGCAGATGGCGCACTCCCCATTTTCCGACCCGGGAAGGGGGGAGGGACATGGGAGCCCCGCCCCCCCACCCTGCCCGGGCCCCCAGGCCAGCTCACCTGGCATGACGTACTCAGAGCTGTCCAGGTGCCCGCCGCTGTAGGCCACCACCAGGTGCCGGTGCTCCTTGCCCTTCTGCCAGTGGCGGTAGCCGACAAAGAGCGCCAGCAGGGCCACCACCAGGGAGCCCAGCACTGCGATGCCGATGACTGCCCCCAGCGAGTTGTAGGCCACGGGAGAGGTAGGCATCATGGTGAAGGGCTCCTGGTTTCCTAGGGGCACGGGGTGGCCACTCAGCCTGGTGTCTCGGGTCTACTGCGGTGTGCAGGGCACGTGCACAGGAGAGGCCCCAGTAGGGAGGCCGGGAGCACCAAGGGTCTGGGTCCTGGTGCCCTGGGGACAAGGGGGGCCTGGAGAAGAACTCACCAATCCTGCAGGGGGCACCGCTGTCCTCTGGGGGACACACACAGGCCCCCGTGACAGGGTGGCACCTCTCTCCAGGAGCGCACTGGCATGGCTGGGAGCAGTTGGCTCCGAACGTCCCGGGAGAGCAGCCTGGTAGGGAGGCAGGGAGGCAGGTGTGGTGAGGGGCCAAAGCAGCAGTCTCCTCCCTGGGCTGGGGGGCAGGGCACGAGTTCCCCTTCCATGGGTACCTTCCAAGCAGAGGCGTCCCGTCCAGCCTGGGGGGCAGAAACAGCTCCCATCCTGGGGGTGGCAGGTGCCCCCGTGGCCACACTGGCAGGGCTGGGCACAGTCAGCTCCCCAGTGTCCTAGAGGGCATGCTGCAGGGGACAAGTGGCTGTCTGCCGGGGCAGGGCCAGTCCCCCCTGGACGGACGCTCAGGCCCCAGGCTCACTGAATCTGCTCGGCCTTGGTCTCCCAGGGACACCAAGGTTTCGAACCACAGCTGCCACGGGTGACCCGCGGATGCTTATCACGTGCCCACCTGCCCACTCGAACCTGCATTTGGTTGTCTAACAGCCATTTCAAAATGGGGTGCCCAGAGCCGGACAAGCAACGGGCCAGTTACTCCCCCGCGCTTAGCTCTGATTCTTTTTTCTCTTTAACCTAAGATGGAAGTGAGTGTCCGTACTGTGTAAGGCACAGTTTCTGTGCACCTGACACTAGGGAACAACGTAACGGCAGCCCACCCGGAACTCTACGGGGACGCCGTCCTCCATCTCCTCGCCGCGCCCCCGAGCCCGCACCCAGCCTCTCTGGTCACTGCTTCTCACTTCCTTCTAACACCTGCAGTACTTGGGGCTCTGGGCTCATCTGTTCCATAATGTTATTTATGCATTTTTGTGGGGAAGAAGCCATTTATAAATAAATATAAATTGAAAAACGCAGAAGCAAAAAGAAAAACATGTGAAACCAAGCTCAGGGCTCCCTCACCCGCCGCCGGCCCCCGAGCCCAGACCAACAGCGCCTTTCCCAGGCCACCCTGCAGAGGGATGTCCCAAGCTGCACCCCAGGGCACCTGGGTCATGATAGTGTCCGTACGTTTTATATAAACTACGGACCCCAAGTGGGCCTGGAAGCCTCCGGTCCTCAGCCCAGTGCTCAGCACGCACACGCGCTCTCACACACAAGCCGCCACCTACGCTGGGAGCAATCGGGGCCTGTCCAGCCGGCCAGGCAGTAGCAGGTCCCGTCCGAGGGGTGGCAAGAGGAGTGGTTGGCACACTTGCAGGGCGCACAGCGTTTGCCATAGCGGCCAGGCTGGCAGGCTGGGGGGAAAGGGCCAGTGATGACTGGGGGCAGGGACCACCCCTGGGTCAGCCCTAGACCCCACCAGCTCCCTCCTTCCTCTACATTGTGGAAGACTCCGAGAGGGCAGTGGGGGGCTTCCAGCATCTGACATTGCCCTGCACCCTCCTGCTGGTGAGGGAGGGAAGGAGAGGGAGCCTCACATTTCTGGCAGGAGGGCCCTCGGAATCCGGGGGCGCACACGCAATTGCCGTTCTCCGGGACGCAGGTGCCCCCGTTCTTGCAGGTACAGCTCTTACTGCAGTTGGCTCCCCAGAGGCCGTCGGGGCAGGGCAGGTGGCAGCGGGCCCCTGTGGGAGAGAAAGGTATGGAGAGCCTGGCCGGCCCCCCCACTCACGTCCACAGGGGCTCTGATGGACATACTCCCTGTGGGATCCATCCCCGAGCTCTGGGGGGCTTGGGGCCAGGACACCTCAGTGCTCACCCGTCCAGCCGGCCTGGCACTGGCAGTGTCCATGAACAGGGTCGCAGCCATCAGAGTGGTCACAGTCACAGCGGCTGGCACAGCCTTCGCCAAACTGCCCCTTCTTGGAGAGGGAGTGGATGGCGGGGCAGGCCAGTCAGTCAGGAGTTTGCTGTGACATGCCCTCCCGCGGGCAGACGGGCTGTTGAGCACTTACTGGGCAGGGGAGCTGGCAGTGTGCTCCGTGCCACCCAGGGGTGCAGGTGCAGGCTCCAGTTTGGGGGCTGCAAGCCGCCTCGTGGGCACACTGACAGCTGGCGTTGCAACCGAAGCCCCAGGTTCCAGGCGAGCAGGGCACGGAGCAGTTACCACGCTGCCAACCTGGAAGAGGGGCCCCGCAGAGAGGCATGGGGATCCAGCCCCACCCCCCCACCAAGCACAAAGGCATGAGCTGTGCCCCGCTCTGGGCTGGGAGCTGAGAGTGGGCGTGGGGGTGCTCGAGGCCCAGGCGGGAGGCAAGCGTGTGCACCGGTAACACGCTGGGTGGCTGCTGGTGGTCCAGCACTCCCTTCTGGGGCCTGCAGAATGGGGGGCAGGGGGTCTTGGCAGCGAACCCCAAACCAGGTACCTAAATGAGTAATGCAGATCACGTGTAAGACTACAGGGAGGAGTGGGGACTGGAGACCGGAGGCGGGTTGCACATCACGGAGAGCCAGCCAAACACAACTCAAGCCGTGTCAGAACGCAGCCTAAAGGTTGCCAACCGGCCACCCGTGTGGATCTCAGAAGCCCTTCCGGGCCCTGCCAACTTGTGGCTTTTGATGACTGAGGGCGAGGGATGCTCGCCCGAGAGGTGACTTCTGGCCTGGACCTTTAAGCGCAAGTAAGATTTTTGTGGTTGAAAAAAAGCAAAGTGGATTTTCCAGGAAGGAAGTGGCCTGGCGACTTTCCCACCGTCCCGCTGCGGCCCGGGGGCCCTGCCCCTGCGCTCGGGCCCGCCTTCTTGCCCGTGGCCCCGCCCCCAACCGCCCCTCCCCGGAGACCCTGCCCCTTACCCTCCTTGCACACGCAGGCGCCGTCGACCGGCGAGCAGGCGATGGCGTTGTCGCAGGAGCAGCGCGCGCTGCACTCGACTCCATAGGTGTCGGGGGCGCAGAGGCTGGCGCAGTGCGGGCCCTGAAAGCGGCGGGGCCGGTGAGCGGGCGGCCCGGCCCCTCGGCTCCCCCCTCCTCCGGGTCCTCCCCGCGCCACGCCTCACCGTGTAGCCGGGCGCACAGCGGCACTGGCCGCTGTCGGGCTGGCACACGCCGCCGTGGAGGCAGAGGCAGTGCTCCTGGCAGCCGGGCCCGTGCGTGTCCTGCGGGCAGCTCTCGTTGCAGTGCAGGCCGGCCCAGCCCGGCAGGCACGAGCACTCCCCGCTCATCGGGTGGCAGCTGCGGCGGGAGCGAGCGGCGCTGTCTGACGGGGTCCGCGCGCGCCTCCCGCGCCTCCCCGGGCTCCTCCGCGCGGCGGGCGCCGGGCTTCGCGGAACCGGGGGGCCATTCCGAGCGCGCCCCCACTCCCGAGGCCCCTCCCTCTCCCTTCTGTGACATCTGTCCCGCCCTCGGGTCGGGCTCCCGGCCTTCAGCGCCCAGGGCCTCTCCCACTGGCGTCCGGTCTGAGCGCGCTCCCGCGCCACACCTGAGGCTGTGCTCCGGGTCGCAGGTGCAGGGCTCCTGGCAGCTGAGGCCGTAGAGGCCGTCGGGGCAGAGGCGCTCGGTGCAGCGGTCCCCGGTGAAGCCGTGTTCGCACAGACAGGCGCCGTTGGCCGGGAAGCAGCGCGCGCCCTGGGCGCAGTCGCACGTCTCTGCACAGTCCTGGCCGAAGCGGCCCACGGGGCACTCCTCACGGCACCTGGGGGCCTGCCGAGTGAGTCTGACAGCGCGCACCCTCCCGCCGGTCCCGCCCCCGCCAAAGCCACTCACCGATCCCCCGTGTAGCCCGGGGCGCAGCGACACTGGCCAGTGAATCGGTCACAGAGGCCACCATTGTGACAGTGGCACTCTTGGGAGCAGTTGGGTCCATGGAAGCCCTCTGGGCAGGGCAGGGAGCAGATGGTGCCCTGGAGAGGTGGAACATGGACAGCCCCTCCCCATAGGCATAGGACCCCTTGATACCCCCACCCCTCAAAACCCTGCAGGGTCACAGAGCCCACCCCCTTCACACACACCCTCCTCCAACCGGGCGGAGAAGCTCCCCGTGCAGGCCACCCCCTTCCTACCATCCAACCAGGTGGGCAGCTGCAGGAGCCCTGGGAGGCCTGGTAGACACCCCCGTTGTGGCAAGGTTGGGTTCTGGGGCAGAAGCCAGCGGGGCCTGGGAGACAGGACACCTCACAGCTGCTGGGCAAAGCAGTGAGGTCAGGGCGGGCACAAGCAGCACCGGCCTCCCCTTTGCCCCCAAGGGCTGCTCCCCCATCCCTGCCCCGTGCTTCCCGGGGGAGCAAATCCTGACCTCAGAACTCAGTGTGGCAGCCAGCCTGCGGGTGCCGTGCTCCCCCCAGCCCCCCCACTTCCCCACCCCCCACCCCCACCCTGGGACAGGAGTCAAAAAGCAAAGGTTTCCAGGACCAGAAATGGCAGGGACAGCCAGCACCACCAGAAGGTAAACAGCCTGCACTGCCGGTCCCCTCCCCCCACCTCTGCTCCTGCTGTTGCAGGGGGTGGGTGGCAGGGGCAGGGGTGGGGAGGGGAGAGAGACACATCTGCCTGCCCTAGTTTCTCTGCCCCAGAGGGCTCCGCGTTGGAGCTGCTCCATGATGCCCAATGCATCCCCCCACCCCGGCCTGCACCTCTTTGCGACAGGCTTCTCTGGGACCGTGTCAGCCCCACTTTGGGACACCCGCTCACACACGCAGGCTCTGTCATCTGCACAGAGAGCCTCCCAGCTGGAGGACCCTGCTGTCGCCTTACAAAGAGGGAACAGCTCACAGAGACTCAATGATGGGCTCAAGGTTGCTCAACTGGTCAGTGGCAGAGCTGGGACGAGGACCTTGGCCTCTCCATTCTGTCCCACTGGGGGCCCAGCCAGAGTCTCCTCATATCTGCACGTGTGCCCAGGTGGCCCTGTGCCCACGACCCTGTTGTGCACCTGGGCCCCTTCCTCTCCGGGGGGCAGAAGCAGGCTCCGGTCCGGGGGTCACAGGGCGCTCCGTGGCACCTGCAGCGTAACCCGCAGGCGAGGCCGTACTGGCCAGGGGGGCAGGGCTGGAGGCAACGTGGGGGCTGCAGGCCCAAGGGGCAGAAGCAGGCCCCGCTCTTGGGGTCGCAGGAGCTGCCGTTCCCGCAGTGGCAGGGCTCGTCACACTGAGGCCCCCACACGCCTGGGGCACAGGCTGCGGGGTGAGGAGGGCAGAAGGAGGTCACCAGGGGTCTCCCCTTCCCTAGCCTCCAAGAGTCCAAGCCCACTCCCCAAACCCGTGCCCTGTGCCCCACTTCGGAAAAGGCAGCTGGCTGCTCTGGGGCTCTTGGAGTGTTGGGGTGCCTGCCCTGGGGGGCTAAACCCCTGTAAGTGGTAGGGAGGGTGCGGCCAGGCCCTCCCCCACAGCTCCCCCCGCCGCCCCCCCACCCGGCACTCACCGCTGGAGCAGTCCTCGCCCCGCCAGCCCTGCTCACACTGGCACCGACTGGGAGCCACACAGCGGCCGTGGACACACTCCTGGGCGCAGAGAGCTGGGGCAGAGACTGAAGGAGTGAGAACCACTTCCTCTGCCCCCACCAGCCTTTCCCCCTCAGAAGCCCGACCCTGGGGGGCCTGACCCTCCCAGAGCAGCACCTCGGCCTGGAAGAAGTGGCCACAGAAGACAGGGCCAGCAAGTTAGGCCAGAACTTGACAGAAGCTCAGAGTCCAGGCTCCCCAGCCCCTTTCGGTGACATTGTCCAAGCACCGTGGTTGGGAAAGAGAGGGGACCCTCAGGAGGGAACCAGACTTGGCTGCTATGTGGACATGGGTGGGTGGGGGCGGGACACGCTGGGCAGGAGACTACGGTGACGGTGACGGTGACGGTGACGGACTGACGGTGGGGGAGAGAGGCAGAGCAGGCTCCGGCTGGGAGCCTGTGGGGTGTGGCGCCCCCTCCGGGCTGTGTGGTGGCACCAGGCAGGTGAGCCTGGGCATCGACTAGTGGAAGACACAGAGCAACAGAGGCAGGGAAGGGAAGAGACAAAGACTCGTAGTGACAGAGGAACACAGGCAGCCCTGAGACAGACAGACAGAGACAGAGATGCTCCAACACATGGAGAGGAGGGGAGGGAGAAACATGGGGGCAGCTAGGACAGAGGTGGCTAGTGGCAGCTGCTGGTGGGGGGGGGGACAAGCCCGGAGGCAGCAAGGAAGACTCACGGACACATGTGTCCCCGCTCTCATAGAAGCCATGGCAACAGCGCAGGCGTTTCCGGTGCTCCGTCCTCACCACCTGGCGGTACACCGGCCTGTAGACGACCCTAGGGGACCCCCGAAAGTGGCCCTCAGTGCCCCCCGCTGACACCAGGCCAGCCACGCCCAGCGCCGTGCGACCCTGGAAGGCCCCTGGAAGGCCCCTGCTCCCGTACAGCAGGAGCATTCCCTCACTGCCCCCCACCACACACACTTGCGCACACGCACACACGTGCACAGGGGCACACACACCCACACGAGCCCCCCCAGACCTCCCTTTCAGGGCTGTGAGGCCAGATGCCTCCTCGGCTCTCCCAAGTTTCCGAGAAGGAGGGTATGGAGAGCCGGGGCCGCTGAGCCAGCGCTGAGCCCACGGCGGGTGGGGGGCAGGGAACCGCGGGCACTCACGTGGGCTGGGGGCAGGCGTGGGGGCTCTCCCAGGGCCGGTCACAGGGCTCTGAGGGAAGCAGGCTGAAGGGGCGGGAGTGGGACTCCTTGGTGACGGTGGTGAAGCTGTAGGACGGGTGGGTCAGGGCTCAGGGCGGGGCAGCCCGCAGGGCCCTCAGGAAGCAGGGGTGCGAGGGCTTGGCCGTGCTGGGGAAGGTGGGTTTGCTCCCCCAAGCCTAGGAGGAACCCCTATCCCGGCCCCTCCCTCTGAAGGGGTCTTCCCGGAACTGGAATATTTCTGGGGCCCCCTCATCACTGCCCCCTCCTCAGCCTATAGAACCAAAGCGTTCCATTTCCCCCTCCGCCTCCTCCCTACATGGCAAGAGCTGGAACTGATTCCTGGGACCGAGATGTGCTGAAACACTTCTGGCCAAACCCTGACCTGGGCCTTGCTCCCCAACCCCATGCCTTTTGCTCCCCCTGAACCAAGGTCCCTATTTGCTCCACAGCGAATGGCTCCCATCCTACATTCTGCCCTGCAGCTTCCCACGGGGACCAGGGGGTGGGGACACGAAAGGACAGGGTCAGAAGTAGCCCCTGCAGGGGAGCAGAAAGAGAGCAGGGACAGAACCAGGAGGGATGAGAGGGAGGACTAGGGAGAGGCAGGGAGGCAGGGAAGGAGAGGGAGAGGAGACCCCGAAGGCAGTAGGGGGAGCTGGGGAAGCCACAAGGGACCCTCACCTTTCCCAGAAGCTGCAGGTGTTGGGGTCACTGGGGCTGAGGGCTCCAGCCAGCCCCAGGCCCAGGGCCAGGAGCTGCAGGGGGCACAGAGGTGGTAACATTGCCAAGGCCGGGCCCTGGGGCAGGCGATGGATGACTGAGAATCTGCCGGGACCAAAAGGTGGGAGAAGACGCGAGCCTCTCGCCTCCTGTCCCCTAGCCCCTGCCCATGGTGGGCTCTGCTCCCCAAGGTCACATCCCTCACTAGGTGGATGTTACCTCTGCCCGGCCGTCCTCCCTCCGTTCTTTGCCTGAGTCCTCACGTCTTCCAGTCTCCCCCAAGTGACACCTGTCCTCCCCTGCCGACCGCCCTCCCCCCAGCACCATTCACTGAGCCCCGGCCCAGGGCCCCGAGAGGCAGGGCTCCTGCCCAGATCCCAGAGCCCCTCCAGGCCCTGCTCAGGGCACCCGGACACTGGTACAGAGTGGGAAGCTGGAGCCAATGGGAAGTCGTGCGGGAAGCCCACAGGGGCTGGGGGCCCGGCTGGAGAAATAATTCCCAGTCCCCGCAGCCCATCGTGGAATCGGCCACCAGAGGGGACCTTCCTGTCACTGCACGCCAGCAGGTGGGGCCAAATCCCTCTGATGCAGCTGGGGGCCTGCAGCTGCGACGACGGATGGGAGTAGGGCCTGTCCGGATGACCTCGAAGGAGGCCACTCCGATCTACGGTGTCGGTGTCGGGCCCAGTTCCACGGGCTCCCGGGAGCCCACGGTGCCCGGTCACAGAGGACACATTAAGAGCCTGAAATCCAGCTTGCTCCGGGGGATTACTGACCCCAGGGACGCCACCGAACACCACAAGCCAGGGAGAACCCCATCCCCAGCCCGCCAGAGGCCCCATATGCCCCCAGGTCCCACTGCTCTGGCCCCCAAGCTGGCCTCAGATGGAAGCAGCCCCCAGCTCCCTCTGGCCTCCCCCTCAGCCATCTGGAAGCGGCTCCTCTCTTCTCCTCCGCCCCGGCCTCGCCCGGTGGGTGGGGAGCAGGTCGGGACCTCAGCTGGGTCCACTTGGCTCCGGCGCTCAGGAGGGGCTGAGCTCCTGCCTGCCCGCCCACCCTCGAAGCCGGAGTCAGATTGTGTTCCGTGTTCCTAAAACTCGTTCTGGCTCCCTGCTCCCTGCTTCCCCGAGGCACCCACATCTGCTTACAATTTTTCCAGGAAGGTCGTGGTTGCTGGCCCCTTCCCCACCCCACACCCCCGGAGTATCTCTGGAATTCTGGAATGCCTGCTCCCTGGCCTCACCCGCGCCCCCCACCCACACACTCCCAGGGTCCCCGCAGCCCAGAGACGCACCAGACTTCACCCCACGTCCCCCTGTGCTGCGGCCCCAGAGATGCCTCCCCCTGTCTCCCACCACCTCCCAGCTGCTGGCCCAGGGGCTGTCCCCACTGAGGATGAGGGGTGTCCCTGTCACAGCTCCCCCAGGGCATGTGTCCCCCCCCCCCACCGGCCTTCCTGGTGCTTCTCCACCCACCCTTAGGCCTCAGGGCACTCACCAGCTCTCTAGGGCATCCTGCGGCCTGAGAGGCTCAGAGGAGCAGGGGCACGGCCTGGGGGACCTGGCAGTGTCCTGGGGGATCCCAGCGCTCAGGATACGGAGCCTGAAAACAGGAAACAGAGGCTGGTTCCAGCAGGGAGCCGTCACGGGCTCCCTCCTCCACACACCATGAACTCAGAGGGTGGGATGCAGGGGGCTGGGCCAGTGGCTGGTCTCCCGAGCTGGGCACCCAGGCCACTCTGAAGGGGTGAGGGGGAGACTCAGCCTGTCCTCAGAGAGCCAGGCCACACGAGGGTCTGTCCCAGGGCACCCCCCTCCCCTCCCGAACAGACCTGGCTTCTTCTGCCAGCATCCCCAGCTAGCCCCTCCACCCCTGCCCTGCCCGGGCTGCCTTCCCAGGTCCAGGGCCTGCCTCCAGGATCCATGGTGCCCGCTTTCAGGTGACCTGTCCCTGTGGGGCCTCCCGTGGCTGAGCCCCTGCAGGATCCTGAGCCTCCACACCCCTCCCACCCCCACCCTGTTGCCACACCACCCTCCACCTGGGCCCCCAGCTGTCCTCAGACTGGGGCTCAGTCTGAAGGGATCCAGATTTCCCACCACCCAGCACCCCCCTCTCCTGGACCCCTGCCCCCAGAGTGCGAGGCTGGGGGGGCACACGCCCCACAACAGAAAGGCCTGAGGCAGGGCAAGGAGCCCTCACATTAGCCCCTCCTGCCAGTCACCACCTCAAAAACCAAGGTCTAGAGGAAATGGTTCACCTGGGGGCTTTAGGAGGTGGGCAGGGGACAATGAGGAGGGCTCGACCCCCCCATCCCCTGCCCATCCAGGGTTCACCTTGATAATGGCTGATCAGGGGCTGGAGGGCTGGGAAGATTCTGTTTTCCCAAAGGGCCTCGGGCTCCCAGAAGGCACCAGGGTCCCAGTGGGTCAGGAGCAGGCCTGACAGTGGGGTTGGTGCAGCCAGTGGGTGGTCCGCAGGGAGGGGTGAGGTAGGAGGGGGATCCCAGCAGGAAGGGGCAGTGTTTGGCCTGACCAACCTTAGCCCCTCAGCTCCTGATCCCAGGCCAGATCAGGAGCCCAGAGCCCCAGCCTGGCCCCGCAGCTTGTCTCTGAGACTTTGTCTGGACCCATCCCAACACCCGCAGACCCACAAGTGCCCGGGCCACCTCTCCAGGGTGTTAAATCAGACAGTGCTGGCTCCCGTCCTGCACTCACGGAGGGCGCCCCAGTCCCCCTCACTGTGGGCTCCTGGAGGCCCAGGCCTCATGTACTGTGTGGAGAAAGGTAGGGAGCTGCCCCCGGGTCTCAGGTGCGGTGGGCTTCAGTCCCCTATGGGAGGCAGCGCTGTTCACAGGTGAGGGCATGGGCAGGAGTAAGCGCTCGGCCCAGGCCACACAGCGGGTGGGATCCAGACCCAGACCGCTGGCGGGCGTTCCCAGTGGTTCCCACCAATCCAGCCCAGAAGGGGAATCCCAGGGGCTTTGCATCTCTTTGTAAAAGTCTCAGTTATGCAGAGGGAGAGATGCCGAGGGGGCGGGGGCGGACAGGAGGAGGGGGGCTGCCGGGGAACACACCAGAGTCGTGGGAACTGGATGCGCTCGCAGTCAGGGACCAGCGGAGCTTTTCTCCTCCACCTCCAGACACGAAGCAGCCGCCCCCGCCGCCAGGCCCCGAGCCCCCCCATGCCCGAGTGTGGCCTCCCCCAGCCATGCCCCAGGGGGCCTCCAGGCCCACACCCAGCCCAGCCCCAGCCCTCCTTCTGCTCAGGCGGATTCCTTCCGGTGGGGAGCCCCTGTCCTCCCGCTGCCCCAGCCCCCTTGGGAGGAGGGAAAGGAGTCTGGGTCTTCAGGGTGGGGCAGAGCTCCTGGTGGACAGGAAAGTGACCATTTCTATAGGAGGCAGAGAACGGGAGGACCTCCCCCTGCCCAGCTCCCCTCCCCAACTTTTCTCCAGGAGGGGGGTCAACAGAGGACAGCCTCTGAGCTGGGCCGTGAATCACAGCTCTCAACTCCCCCAAGAGAGGGGTTGAAAGCAGCAGAGCTGTCCCTCAGATCAATATGGAAATTGACAGATGAAGGGCTTTGAGACCCCCCCACGTGCTGGGTTCACACTCACCGTACCCCCCCTCCACACCCCATCCCCATCCCCCTGCCCTTGGCACTGTCATACCATTTGGGTATCAATTCCAAGAAAAGCTGTTTCTTGTTTTTTTCTGAAGAACCTCCAGGATGATCCCGGAATGGGGACTTAGCTGCTGACACAGAGAAGGGAAGTGGGGGTGGGAGGGGGCCAAGCCCCCCACAAAACTTGATCCCTCAGAAGAACGATGGGCTGCCCGCCAGGTACACCTTCAAGCCAAAGGCAGTGGCTGAGACAGGATGCTTGGCTACTGCGGACCCAGCTCCCAGCCTGACCCCCACCCCTGGTGCCCCAGCCTCTCCTCCCATCTCTGTCTCTCTGCCCAGTCCTGTCATGTCACGGAGTCCAGAGATCATAGTACTTACAGCCTGGCACTTACAAGCTGTGTGACCTCAGGCATGTCACTGGAGCCCCATGAGCCTCCATTCCCTCATCTGTGAAATGGGACAGTGGCCCCCACACCTTGTGGGGTACGGTGGGGATAGGAACCATTAGTGCCGGTAAGCCCCCTGGAGCAGAGCCGCAGCCCAGAAGCCGCTCCGAGAACATGTGTGGACACAGGGACAGAACCCCCCCACCAGGTTCTAGGCTCTCAGCCTCTTCTTTCTGTTTTTGTTTTGTTTCTCATCAAAGTCTCCCTGCTGGGGCGCCTGGGTGGCTCAGTGGGTTAAAGCCTCTGCCTTCGGCTCAGGTCATGATCTCAGGATCCTGGGACAGAGCCCCACAGCGGGCTCTCTGCTCAGCGGGGGGCCTGCTTCCTCCTCTCTCTCTGCCTGCCTCTCTGCCTACTTGTGATCTCTGTCTCTCAAATAAATAAAATATTAAAAAAAAAAAAGTCTCCCTGCTTTGGGGCAACTGGGAGGCTCAGTCAGGGAGCACCCGACTGGGCTCACTCATGATCTTGGGGTCCTGAGATGGAGCCCCACGTCAGGTTCACGCTCAGTGCAGAGTCGGCCTTGGACTCCTCTCTCCTCCTCTGCCCCGCTTCTCTCTCAAATAAACAACAATAAATAGTCTTTAAAAAAAAAACAAAAACAAACCTCTCTGCTTTCTGCCTTTTTCATCTTCCTCCATCAGTTCCTTGGTCTGTGTCTTTCTCCCTCTCTCCTTCCTTTCCGACTGAGCCCCCAGGGGCCCGTCTCCTTCCTTTCCTCCAGGTTGCCAGGCACAGCACAGTTGTGCAGTGTGTTCACTGCACAAGGGAAGCCACCCTCAGGCGTGCTGCAGAAGTTCACCAAGCCATATGTCTTAGCCTAGCCACAGGGGCCTGGCCCCGGATCGACCTGCCTTGTCTGTCTGTTTCTCTGTGCTCTTTCCAAGCCTGTCTTGGCCATGGAGACAGGATCACCTAGTCCTCCTCACCCAGCAGTGAGACCCCAGTCTGCCCCCTCAGGGCTCAGCATCCACGTGTGCCTGCACACGCAAGCACAGAACCCCACCTACACCCAGCCAGGCCGCCAGCCTGCAGCACTCCAGGCTTGTCTGCCGGATGGAGGGGCAGGAAGCCTGTGTGTTCCCAGAGGCTGGCCGGGAAGGGGGCAGGGGTGAGGGGCCGGCCTTGTGTTCTCTGTGGCTCAGGAAACAGAAGCTAGAGGGTCCTCAGCCGGACCTGTTTACTCATCAGGAAACAGGGAAACCTGGGATTCTGATTCACCAAACGTCTATCGCGTGCCTCCTGGAGGCCGGCGCCAATGCCAGGCCCGGCCCTGCCATGGCCACGGCCTACAGGGGCCCTCTGACCGCTGTCCTCAGTCATGGGAAGGCCTCGGGAAAGTGACTTGCCCGGGGCCACCTGGGGGGCCAGCAGCAACGCCAGGATTAGAATCCGCCTCAAAGAACAAAGCACTGGGTGGAGGGGAACCCCAGACGACACAGGCGGGGTGGGGGGCGACTCCCCTTCCAGACCCTCCTGTCCTACTCCCTGGCACCCCCAGATACCCTCCGAAAGCACCGCTCCTCTCTGGCCACCGCTCCTGTCTGACGCTCTCTGTGGCTCCCCACACCACCACCCCCGGAAAGGGTACCCAGGAGCCAGGCCGGCTGGCTGGCCATCCCCCTGGGGGCGCAAATACTTGCTCCTCCGGCCTGAGCACCGGCCTGCAGGCCCCCTCGACCCAAATGAGCCCCCGCATCCACCCACCCAGGGCCGGCTCCAAACCAGACGGGACCAACACTTCCTCAGACTCCAGCCAAAGGCTGAGCACCCATGTCAGTCCTCTGCGGGCACGTGGGGCAGACCCAGGCCAAGCCATGAGTCCATAGGGCCCCAGAGGAGGGACCCTGGTGTCCTGTCCGGTCTGAGGCCGGCACTGGGACTGCAGGTTCATGCTCTGCCTGCCCCCACAGGCTGGGGTGCCCTCCGTCTGTGCCACTCGGAGGCCGTGAGTGGGCTGGGGACTCCCACCGACCACCGTGGCTATGACACTTTTATTAAGCTTGGCTTTCCCCGTGGGAATGGGGCTCTGTGGGGCCAGGGCGCTTTTCCACCTTCCTCGCCCCTGGCCCTGGCCCTGGCCAGCAGGGCCCGCAGGGATGCCTGGCCCCCGGGACGTGCCTTCACCCCGACGGGGCAGTGGCACTGGGCCCTCAAAACCGGAAACGAGTTCATAAGGAGCCTCCACCCTTAGGCAGGGAAAGTCGGCTCCAGACCTGCCCTCCTGACCTCAGGCAGGCGTCTTCGGCGGGCCCCCGAGTTCCTAAGCGATGAGAGCACAGTCCCGCAGGGCCCTGAGTCACCTGGGGAGGAGGGGCTGGGCCCACCGGCTAGAGCCCTGTCCTGTGCCATGGGCCTCAGGACTGGGACCCACCCCAGCCATCCACACACTCCCATCCAGTCAGAGGGACTGGGCCCCTGAGGCCCTATGTGGGGCGGGGGAGGCCGCATGTCCCAGAGCCTCGCAGGCACCGGTCCCCTCTGGAGACCTCCGTCTGGGCACCCATGGGAGAGCTGTCCCCAGCCCCCGTGAACGTGTGCTGCGGCTGGTTTCTGCCCACTCCCCCAGCGCTCTGGAGAGCGCGCTGTCATGCTTCAGAAATACCGCAGAGAAGGGAAGTCACGAGCCCCAGGTCACACAGCCAGGCAAGGGCAAAGCGGGGATGGGGACTGGGATGGGGACCGGGTCTACCAAACCCCAAAGCCTGCGCTCACCCTTCCCATCTCCTTCCGCGGCCTTCCTTCTGCTCTTCCCACCCCCGCTCGCCTCTGTCTCCAGCCCTTCTGTTCTTTCTCTCTGTCTCTGCTGTTTGCCTAAGTCCGCCCTTTCTTGCCTCTGGCTCTCCTTTGCAATGTCACTGTCCGTTCTCATGTTTCCGTCTCTTTACATCCCCATCTTTGTCTTTCTCTCTCCTTCTTGGTCTCCCCTTCCTTCTGCTGGCATCTCTAGGCCCGATTACATGCCAGGCCCAGGCATGGTGCCGTTACTCCCCCCTGCCGAGCTAGGACGGTTGGGCAAGGATGGCAGGGATAGGACGGCGGGGCTAGGACGGCGGGGCTCAGACAGCCAGGCCCTCCAGCGTCCAGGGAGTCTCTTTCTCAAGAGTTTCCCAGGCCACTCTAAGGAGATGCTCAGGAGCACAGGGGTGGAGGCCCTGCCGGACTCTAGCACCCTCCCCAGCAGCTGGTGGGGGACAGGCAGACAGCACCCAGTGGCCTCTATCTCTGCCTAGAGAGCCAGTTTCCTCTTCTGGGAAAGCCTGATAGGAATGGGGTAGGGGAGGGAAGGAACACAGGCCAAGCCTGGGCTTCACCTCCCGGTGGAGAGAGGGGGCCAGAGAGGCGAGCCTGGCCTCCCCCTGAGCTTCTCCGCGAAGGGAAGGTAGCCCCAACCCCCAGCCACAGCGGCAAGTAGGCCGGTACCCTTCGGGGTGCTCTGGGAGCAGGAGAGGACCTGCAGGGGACCGGCCAGGAGAGCCGCCCCCGCGCTGCCTCACACACGCGCACACGGGCACTAGAACGTGGACTGGGTGGGCGGGGGTCAGGGAAGAGCCCCTACCACGCCATGCCCCTGCCCGGCCCAGCTGAGGCCAGGCTGAGAGCTGACCCCTTGACCAATCCCTCCCGGAGCAGTGGTCTGGCTGAGCCTGGGAACCTCGGGCCGGCACAAGCTGTTCCCATCCCTAGGGACCTGGGTCATAGCCCAGCCCCGGGAGAGGCGGCTGAAAAGAGGTCAGGACAGGAGAGTGAGGCTCCCGCGTTGAAGGCAGGAGACGGGGTGGGGCTGCGGGGTGGTCTTCTAGCCCCCACCCCCGGGGCAGACCTCCCCCACTCCACCCTTGCGACCTCCTATGACCTCCGCCAGCCCAAGTCTTTCTGCCCATCCAGATGTGGGAGACCTGTGGCCAACCTCTTGTGCCCCCAACTGGCGAAGCCATGGGTGCCAGGGAGCGGCATCCCGGCAGTCGCTCACCCTCCTGAGGGGTCAAGTCTCCTGTTAGCCACCCCCACCCCAGTAGTGACAGGAGCCCTGATGAGGCCTGTGCTCGGAGGAGACAAGCTGTCCTTCAGCTGGGCCTCTGGCGACCCCAGGGGCAGGCGCGGTGCTGTGGGCGTCTCCTCTCAGAAAGACCCGCGGGGCACAGAGGACCTACAGCCCAGGAAGGGGCAGAGTGGAGATTCCAACTCCTGTGTGGCCACTCACGCCTCCCGGCAGCCTAGCAGAGGACCTGGAGCCCCGCTCTCCGGCTGCACACCCCCCCGCGTCCCCCCGCCCCCACAAGTCGCTCTGGGGGGCTCGGGAAGAGGCCTCTTCTGCATGCCACTAACTTGGTGTCCCCCCAGAGGGCCACCCCAGTGCTCTTGGCCCCTCCGCTGCCCGCACCCTCACGCAGGAGAACTCGAGGTCCTCAGCCCTTCCCAGGGGCGGGGGGACGCGGGGCGCGCGGGGGCGCGCAGTCACTCACCTGCCTTGGACCCGAGCTGTCGCCGGCCTGGGGTGGGGACCGCCCGGGGCCGGGAGGGGACGGCGGGGCTGCGGGAGGGTGGGGAGGCGGGGCGCGCGGCCCGCGGGGCGGGGCGGGGCAGGAAGGGGGCGGGCCCCGCGGGGCAGGAAGTGTGGAGCGGGCGCGGGGGCGGACGCCGGAGCGGGGGAGCGAGGGAGGGGGGCCGTGGGCTCCCGGGGAGGGAGATGCCGGGGAGGAAGGCGCTGGGGGGGCGCTGGGGGCTCCAGGGGTCCCGGGGCTGGGGCGCGGGGGAGGGGACTAGGGACGGCTGGAGGGAAGGAGGCGTTGGGACGGTGGGGGCGCCGCGAGCCGGAGGGAGCGGTGCTGGGGTGGCGGCCTGCCCTGGAGTGGAGCGGGGGGCCCCGGACCGGGACCCTCGTGGTTCCCCAGCAGCCGCAGGGCCCCGGCTTGCTCCGCCTCCCGCGCCTCAGCCTTCCGGGCCGCAAAGTGGGCCCGCGCCGGGAGCCGGAGAGCCCGTCCGCGGCGGGCACCTCCCCCGGCGACCGCGGGACCTGAGGCGGGCCGCGGCCCAGGGTCGCCTCCTCCGCTCCGGCCGGAGGAGCCGGGGGCGGGGGGCGACCTGGGCCCGACCTCCGCCGGCGCCACCTGGCGGCCACAGCGCGCTCCCGCGCCGCACTTGGTGACCCGCCGGCTCGCTCGCCCCCTCGCTAGCCCTCTGCGTGGACCGCGTCCGCGAATCCTTAGCGCGAGCTGGGTGCGTCCCAGGAAGAGGCGGCTGTGCCCGCGGCCGCGCAGCGTTCGGGCCGTGGTCCGCGCTCCCGCCCCGGGTTGCACCGCCCACCCCGAAAAGCCACCATGGTTCGGTTCGGAAAGAGCAAGGCCGGACACCCCTCCTCGGAGATTTCTCGGATCAGCTTTACTGAGGCGTGACTGACAACGAAAAACGTATCCACTTAAAAATGTACTGATCGGGGCGCCTGGGTGGCTCAGTGGGTTGAGCCTCTGCCTTCGGTTCAGGTCATGATCCCAGGGTCGTGGGATCGAGCCCCGCATCCGGCTCTCTGCTCCGTGGGGAGCCTGCTTCCTCCTCTCTCTCTCTCTGCCTCTCTGTCTACTTGTGATCTCTGTCTGTCAAATAAATAAAAGCTTTTTTTTTAAATGTACTATTCGATGACGCTTTTTAATATTTTTAACAATTGGGGCGCCTGGGTGGCTCAGTCGTTAAGCGTCTGCCTTCCACTCAGGTCATGGTCTCAGGGTCCTGGGACCGAGCCCCGCTTCGGGCTCCCTGCTCAGCCAAGAGTCTGCTTCTCCTTCTCCCGCTCCCCCTGCTTGTGCTCCCTCTCTCGCTGTGTCTCTCTCTGTCAAATAAATTTTTTTAAAAAATTTTAATTATGCCAAAGTCTATGTAACAAAATTTACCACTTTAACCATTTTAACAAGTTATTTTTTAAAAAGATTTCATTTATTTATTTGACAGAGAGATCACAAGCAGGCAGAGAAGCAGGCAGCCAGAGAGGACTAAGCAGGCTCCCCACGGAGCAGAGAGCCGCATGCGGGACTTGATCCCACTGAGATCATGACCTGAGCGGAAGGCAGAGGCTTAACCCACTGAGCCACCCAGGCGCCCCCACTTTAACCATTTTAAAGTGTGCGGTTCCGTCTTGTAAATACCTCCACACCGTGCAACCACCATCCATCTCCATAACGTTTCCATCACCCCAAACTCGAACTCTGTCTCCATGAAACAGCAGCGCCCCACTCCTCCTCCTCCTCCCTGTCCCCGTCCCCCCTCCCCCACACTCCTGTCTGTCCTTCTTTCTGTGTCTATGGATCCCACTACTCCCAGTGGCAGAAGTGGAATCCCAGTGTTTGTCTTTTTGGCTGGCGTGTTCACTTGGTTTGACATCTTAGTTTGATGAACTTTGACAAATAGGGCACCCTGTGTATCCACCACTTCAAAGTAGCTTTTCAAAAGGAAGCTCCGCGCGCAAAGCGGGGCTCCAAGTCACCACCCCGAGACCAGGTGTTACGCGCTCCACGGACCGAGCCGGCTGGATGCCCCAATCAACATAATTTCTTCAAAATCTCCCGGCCCCGCCAGGCGCCTGGGCGGCTCAGTCCGGCCTCCGACTCCTGATTTCCACGCAGGCCGGGCCGGCGGGGGGGGCTGGAGCCCGCGTCAGCCGTGAGTCTGCTCCAGATTCTCTCTCCCTCCACCCCCCGCCCCGCGTTCTCGCTCTAAAATAAATATATTTTTAAGATTTTATGTATTCATTTGACAGAGAGAGTGAGAGAGGGAATGAGAGGGGAGAAGGTCAGCGGGAGAAGCAGACTCTGCACGGAGCCGGGAGCCCGACGTGGGGCTCCAACCGGGGACTCCAGGATCATGACCCGAGCCAAAGGCAGTCGCCCAACCAACCGCGCCACGCAAGCGGCCCAAGAAATAAATAAATTTTTTAAAAATTTTATTTACTTGACAGAGAGAGATCACAAGTAGGCAGAGGCAGGCAGAGAGAGAGGAGGAAGCAGGCTCTGGGCCGAGCAGAGAGCCCGATGCGGGGCTCGATTCCAGGACTCTGGGATCATGACCTGAGCCGAAGGCAGAGGCTTAACCCACTGAGCCACCCAGGTGCCCCAGAAATAAATATTTTTTTTAAATATTTTATTTATTCATTTGACAGACACAGCGAGAGGCAGCACAAGCAGGGGAGAGGCAGAGGGGGAAGCAGGCTCCCCGCCGAGCAGGGAGCCGGACGCGGGGCTCGATCCCCGGACCCCGGGATCATGGCCCGAGGCGGAGGCAGACGCCCAACGACGGAGGCCCCGGCGCCCCCACAAAATAAATAAATCTTAGAAGTTTTCTGCGCCGTCGAACTCGCGGTGACCTTTGCATGTCGAGCCGCAGCCCCGACCCCGGCGCGCGACCGCCGGGACCCGCCCTGCCGCCGCGGAAGCGGGAGCCCCGACGTCCGCGCCGCCGGTTTGTGCGCTGCTCGCTCGCGGCGGGCTTCGCTCCCCGCAGGCGCCTGGGGCGGTCGCGCGCCGGGTCACCGAGGTCGGCCGCACCGCCTCCGCACGCAGCGCCGGGCCCGCGGGCCGCGCGGGAAGCCGCTCGGAACGTTGGCGCGCGAGTCCGCCCGGACGCGCTTCCTTCGTCCCCAGCGAGCGGCCCCGCGTGCGGCTCGAACCCGGGACCCCGCGACGGGCAGTCACGCGCTCCGAGCCCGCCAGACGCCCCTGCCCCGCGGCTCCTGGGTGGGGGGGCTGTGGGCTTTCCCGGGACGAACCCGAGCGGCGTCCCGGCTTCCGGTCCGGGGTCAAAACCGTGTCTGGCGCACGGACTCTGCCCGAGAGGCTCCTGCCAGCGGGAGACCGGCGAGCGCGGAGCGCGGGGCCGCCGGGAGGGCTCGCGGGCAGGGGCGGCTCCCGAGCGCGAGGAGCGGCGCGGGACGCGTCTGCGCCTGGCGGACCGGAGGTCTCCGGCAGGGGGCAGCAGAGACCGACGCACGGCTCCGTCCGGAGGCCCACGACCATAGAGGAGGGGAACCCCTGAGGCCAGAGGGGCCTTGAAAGGCTTCGGATGCAACGCCTCCTAGGGGCCAAGGGGGGAACCTGCGCTCCGCCCCGACCTGAGCCCGCGTTCTCCTCCCTCCAGGTTTGGTTGGGCGCCCTGGCGCTCTCTCTGGGACCCTGTCCGGCCTCTCCCTCCTTCCCCACCCTTGCATATGAACCTTAAACTTGCCTCATCTAGCCTGAGTGTTCCTTTTTTTTTTTTCCCAAAAATTTCTTAAAATTTATTCATTCGGGGGAGACTGAGCGAGAGCATGAGCAGGGGGAGCCGCGGAGGGAGAGGGAGAGGCGGGCCCCCCGCGGAGCAGGGGGCCCAGCGGGCGACTGGCCGCGGGGACTCTGGGATCACGGCCTGAGCTGCAGGCAGACGCTGAGCCGAGCCACGCGGGCGGCCCTGGCCCGAAGGTTTCGGGGACCGCGACAGGCCGAGACCGCCTGCGGGGTCCGGAGCCCCGCGCAGGGTCGGAGCTCGTGAACGTCCAAGCCCCGGGCCACCTGCGCCTCAGCTTCTGGGCCCCGCCCTGCGGCTGGGACGATGGAGGTCCTCCTCCTGCCTCCCGAGAGGTCCAAGGGTCCAAGGCTCTCATTCCTTTTTTTCTTTTCTTCTTCTTTTTCTTTTGTTAGTCGCTGTACCCAACGTGGGGCGTGAACTCACAACCGGGAGATCGGGGTGGCCGGCTACAGGGACGGAGCCAGCCCAGCGCCCGCCTCCTTCATTCTTTTGTTCAACAAGCAATGAATGCGCTTGTGCTTGGGCCCAGGATGCAGAGGAGATGACCGTGACGATGATGATGGCGGCAGCTTTTATCGGACAGGCCCTACTGACATCCCGGCACTGGTCTGAGAACCTTGCATTAGCCAAGAAATGAAGTCCCGGCTCTCAAGAGCTCACATGCTAGTTGGCGTCGCGATTATTCATTCCTTCGTGGAACAGAGGTTTGTAGAGCGGCTGCTGTCGCCCGGCATGGGGACCACAGCTGTGAACAAGCAAAACCTCTGTCTGAACATAGAGGGAAGATGGAGCTTGAGCCTGATTGTGGGGCTGCTGAGGAGAAGACACATCCGTAAAATCGTGATGCATCCTGTGACCTCCGTGCTGTCACAAACAGGCAGACGACACAGGAGACGGGGGTGGGAGTGCTGGGGGTCCTGGTTTTAGAAAGGGGGTCAGGGAAGCCCTCACTGAAAAGGGAACCTCCAGGTGAGGACCTAGAGGAGAGGAAGAGGGACCACACAGCTCTCCGTAGGGAGGGCATTGCAGGCCACAAAGGCCCTGAGGCCAGAGCACGTGCCACGTACAGAGACCAGCGAGGAGACTGGGACCGAGTGGTGTCAGGGGAGTGGATGCGTGAAATCCCACGGGGCCCTGTCAGCTGTGCTAGGGCCGCTGGAGTTTCTAGGAAATGGGGAGCGCCGAGGGGATTTTGAACAGAAGAGGGTCACGATCCTGTTCAAGCCTGAAAAGAGTAGCCGTGCATCGTAGTGAGCA